TGAACAGAACTTCTTCAAAAGAGACATTCATATACAGCCAACAGACACATGGAAAAAAATGCTCATCATCACTCGCCATCAGAGAAAATGCAAATCAAAACCACAATGAGATACCATCTCACACCAGTTAAATGGCAATCATTAAAAAATCAGGAAACAACAAAGGTGCTGGAGAGGATGTGGAGAAATAGGGACACTTTTACACTGTTGGTGGGACTGTAAACTAGTTCAACCATTGTGGAAAACAGTGTGGTGATTTCGCAAGGATGCTGGAACGAGAAATACCATTTGACCCAGCCATCCCTTAACTGGGGTATTACCAAGGATTATAGGTCATGCTGCTATAAAGACACATGCAACACGTATGTTTATTGCGGCACTATCACAATAGCAAAGACTTGGAATCAACCCAAGGGTCCATCAGTGACAGACTGGATTAAAAAATGTGGCACATATAACACCATGGAATACTATGCAGCATAAAAAAGGATGAGTCTTGTGTCCTTTTGTAGCGACATGGATGCAGCTGGAAACCATCATTCTCAGCAAACTTTCACAAGAACAGAAAACCAAATACCGCATGTTCTCACTCATAGGTGGGAATTGAACAATGAGATCACTTGGACACAGGAAGGGGATCATCACACACAGGGTCCTATTGTGGGGAGGGGGGAGGGGGGAGGGAGAGCATTAGGAGATACACCTAATGTAAATGAGGAGTTAATAGGTACAGCACACCAACATGGCACATGTATACATATGTAACAAACCTGCACATTGTGCACATGTATCCTAGAACTTAAAGTATAATAATAATAAAAAAAAGGTTAAACACTATTTGCTCTCACATTAAGTATCTGAGAAAGAGAACTGCTATTCCAATAATCCCAGAATAGTAATATATGAGAAAGATGGAAAAGTACAACTCAAACTAGCTTGTAAAATAAAACAAATAATCTTATATTTATTAGAAATATTAAATCTATAATATTTAAACTATTTAATTTTTAAAAGTAGAACTTGCTAACAGAATTTACACTATAAAAATAAAAAACAGATCTATTTGAATTGTGTAATATCCTAAAAAGAAACTGCTCTTTCCTTTGTCCTACCTGTCATGATCAATAAAGTGAGTTCTTTGATGGAGTGAAAGAGGTTTGATGTGATATTGGCGGACCTGACAGGTTTTGGGTTGAATTCTTGGAGTCACATATGCTTGTAGTGTGCCATACTGGCCTTCAATTGAGCGAATCTGATTCAACAGAAAAAAGAAAACAAAATAAGAATATTTAGCAGCAAAACATATCTTTAAAACGTTCAACACAAGTTATCAAGTACTTAAAATTTACTAAGATGTGAAGACCTAATTTAAGAGGAGTTGGAAAGCTGTCTAGCTTCTTTCTCCTGTCCCACTCTGTTCCAATTCATGGGACAGATTGTAGTACCTCTTGTACTACACAAAGGTAACTTCTCTAATCTAATTAATACTTTAACTCATACTTTTCATGGCATGAGGGGGAAAACATTAAAATTTGACCTAAGTGGGAAACATTAAAAAGTTTAAGTAAGATGTTTTGCAAATGTTGCACTGTGAATATTGCTGACAAGGAAGAGGATAAGAAAACATAAGTAAAACTACAGAAAGAAAACAAAAAATAGATCTGATAAACCTATATTTTGGTGTTAAGTTTTAAAGAGTAATAAGCTCATATTGGCTGAGATTTTTTTCCACAAGAAAAAGAGCTTTAATATAGAACATAATAATTTTATATGAAAAATTATTTTGTAATAATCAGCATAACAATTAATATTCCTTATTTACAAATTCAAACAATAAAGAAAAATCTGGACAAACATGTAAGTCACCTGAAATCCTCCCACCCCAGATGATCATTATTACTACTTTGGTAGTTATGCTTTCATATGTCTCTCCACGTACAGGTACAAAAAAAGTATTTAGCACATAGCTGTTATTATAAAAATCTATTGACAGAAAAAATGTTTCAAATAACTTAATTATTGACATTCTGTGAAAATAGAGATGCATACCTATAATCTAATTATGGCATATTTGAACTGGAAATTCTTTTGGGCTATTTTGAATATAACTGGCTGGATATCCTGAGAATTCAACATACTTAACAGGAAATAGTAATTCACTGAGCTGGGAAGATCTAATTTAAAAGAAGGATCTAATTTAATATATCATTTCACATGACTAAGTCTATTGGATATCCTACACATCTTTGCTTTCATTTCTAATGTTCACATTTTCCCCCTTATCTCTGCCTCTCCTATCACCACCACCTTGCTGCTCCTCCCATCCCACTTATACCTTCCCATATTATATAACTGGCTATATCAGACAGGTGTGTTTCTTTTCATACATTTATTCATATTTATATTAATATAAATAAAAATATATTCAAATTATATAGAGAGATTTTATCCACATTTTGTGTGTTTTATGAAATTCCCTCCATGTTAATCTGTATAAATCAACTCATTCTTTATAGTAGCTGTGTAATATTCCAAGATATGGATAAATAGTTATTTATTCAACCATTCAATCATTAATGAGTATTCACCTTGGTTCTACTTTTCTGCTTCTACAAGCAATGCTGCAATTAATTATATTCATGTCTGTATGTATATTACTGTTATTTTATTGCTATTAATAGATTTCCCCAAAGGAGCTAATATCTATTTTCCAAAGTGGTTGTAACAACTTATATTTCCACGAGCTGTGACTGACAGTGTCATTTTCTTCATCCCCCTCCCCAGTGATGTTGTTCTTTAACTATTAATTTTTTGCCATTCTGCTAGATAAAAGAAACTGCTTTTTGTTATTTTAATTTGAATTTCTCTGGCTAAAGGTGAGGTAGAACGTTTTTGTTTGTTAGCTATTTTGATTCCCTCTTCTATGTTTTGGGTTGTTTGCTTGTTTGTTTGTTTTTGAGATAGAGTCTCACACCATTGCCCAGGCTGGAGTACAGTGGCACAATCTCAGCTCACTGCAACCTCCATCTCCTGGGTTCAAGCGATTCTCATGCCTCGGCCTCCCAAGTAACTTTTTTGTTTTTGTTTTTTTTGTAGTAGAGACAGGGTTTCACCATGTTGGCCAGGCTGTTCTTGAACTCCTGACCTCAAGTGATCTGCCCGCCTTGGCCTCCCAAAGTGCTGTGATTACAGGTGTGAGCCACTGTGCCCAATCTTCTCTTCTGTGACTTGCCTGTCCATATCCTTTGCCTATTTTCCTTACTTGGTGGTTTTTATTGTAACAATAGGCTGTTTATACGTTATTGACAATTACTGTTAGACAATTAAGTCTTCTTTCTTTAAATAAGTAGGTACTTAATTCATCTGAATTTATTTTTTATATATGGCATAAGATAACAATTCATTTGATTTTCTTCTAGATGGATGCTAGTTGTGTCAACAGTGATTTTTAAACAGAAATAGTGATTTAATAGAAGTGTTCCCTTCTATTAAAATAGAAATGTCATGCACTAAATTCCCATAAATGTGAAATATATTCTGGGTTCTATTTCTAGATTATTCTGTTGTATGGCCTATATATTTAGGCTTGGAAATATCCTCCATTATTTTTATTATGGTAGTTTTATGGTATGTTTTATCATATGGCAAAGCAAGAAACACCTTACTTTTCTTCTTTTTCATAATTTTCTTGGCTCTTTTCAGGCATTTTGTCTTTCTTCTACACTTTAAAATTATTATGTCCAACTAAAAAAAGGGGAACATGGCCGGGTGTGGTGGCTCACACCTGTAATCCCAGTACTTTGGGAGGCCAAGGTGGGTGGATCAACTGAGGTCAGGAGTTCGAGACCAACCTGTCCAACATGGTGAAACCCTGTCTCTACTAAAATACAAAAATTAGCCAGGCATGGTGGTGCACGCCTATAATCCCTGCTACTAGGGATGCTGAGGCATGAAAATCGCTTGTACCAGGGAGGTGGAGGTTGCATCGAGCCAAGATTGCGCCACTGCACTCCAGCCTGGGTGACAGAGCAAGACTCCATCTCAAAAACAAAACAAAACAAAACAACAACAAAAAAAAGTGAAACATTGCTTTTAATCAATTTTTACTCAACTTTCAAATTTGTCAGCAGAAACTTGCTCAATGTAAAATGTTTAATTAGGTCACTTACTGATACTTTTTTTTTTTTTTTTAGAAATAAATTTATCCTAGTTTTCCATTTTTCTTTCAAAGTACATAAAAAGGAATGTATGCAGACCAAAATGAATTGTTCAGGGGAAACATCATATTTAACTGGAACTTCCTTAACCAGATGTGAAAAAAATATTGTATAACAGCATCTCTCTTGAAAAATAAAAAAACCTTTGAGTTTCAAAACATCAGCAACACCAGGAAAAAAGTTACAGTCCTTAATTTTTAGATCATACGTCTATCAAAATTAATCCCACTATAAATAACTAAAACAGATTTGTGTGCTATGGTAAGTATTTAATTATAAAAATGATTATGTCAAACTTTAAAAGGTTTTCTCTAGAATGTATGATGATAAATGATATCACTGGAATGCAATCAGCAAAATTCAGGTGGTAGGAAAATATATGACAAATGCTCAGATACTTTAATAACTAAGTTAATTTAGAAGATGACTGTGAGGACCAGCCTGGCCAACATGGTAAAACCCCGTCCCTACGAAACAAACAAAAAAAAGTACAAAAATTAGCCAGGTGTGATGGAAGGCACCTGTAATCCCAGCTACTCAGGAGGCTGAGGCAAGAGAATTGCTTGAACCTGGGAAGCGGAGGATGCAGTGAACCCAGATCATGGCACTGCATTCCAGCCTGGGCGACGAGAGCACAAGAGTGAGACTCCATCTCAAGAAAAAAAAAAAAAGGATGACTGGATTAAACAAGCTGTAAAACAAAAATCAGTAAAATCTGAACATTAAATATTTTATAATATTAAAAAATTGTTGATTTTTCTTAGGTGTGATAATAGTGTAGTTATGTTTAAAAAAAGAGAGAGTACCTATCTTTTAGACACACTAAATGAAATTATGAGTATCTTGTATTTGCTTGAAAATATTTTAGGGTAGTAATGATAGCATAAACAAGGTGGCCATGAGGTGATCACTGCCGAAGCTGTGTGATTAATACATGGGGATTCTAAAATGTTTGAAACTTTCTATAATAAAACATTTGAAAGAAAATTTTCAGTTAGAGGAAACTTTAAGACCAATAATTTTAGGCTGGGCATGGTGGCTTATCCCTGTAATCCCATCACTTTGGGAGGCTGAGGCATATGAACTGCTTGAGCTCAAGAGTTTGAGACCAACCTGGGCAACATGGCAAAACCCAATTTCTATTTAAAAAATAAAAATCAATAATTTTAGAGAAGATGATTAAGAAATAATAGCAGAGATTGTGGTCTGGGCTAAATTATATCCTAACTGGTCATTCAAAATTCATTACTCCAAAACAATTCATTTCAGGGAGAAATTAAATGCAAACAAATAATATCATATGTTATAAGACATACCAGCAGGAAAAAGGAAATTTAAACATTCAAGTAAAGGTAATTTCTAATATTTTTACCTTGAGTTCCAGCCTTGTAGTATTTGCCTGGCACCGATAAGTGGCGAGAAGGAAGTTGTCATTTGACTGGGAAGAATACAAAGTGGAGGAAAAGAATGAATCCATGTTTTTAGCAACAAAAAAAGGGCATCAATAATAATAATGGTTACCATTTACTTAAGTACCTGTCACTGGTGCTAAGTGCTTTTGAAACATGTTCTAACTTATACTTACAAAAACCCTATGCACTAAGTTTTACTAATTAAGCTTTAACAGATGAAGAAACTGAGGTTATGAGGAGTTAAATAACTTCCCCACAGCCATTAAGTGATGAAACTGGAATTCAAATTCCTATCTAAAGCTCATGCTCTTTCCATCTTGAGTTTTTACGATAACATTTTTAAACATTAAGAATTCTTCTAAAAATCTGACAATGCAAACACCAAATGTGATATGGTTTGGCTGTGTCCCCACCCAAATCTCATTTTGAACTGTACTCCCGTAATTCCTATGTGTTATGGGAGGGACCCAGTGGGAGATAATTGAATCATGGGGCCAGTTTCTCCCATACTGCTCTCATGGTAATGAATAAGAGCTGATGGTTTTATAAGGGGAAATCCCTTTCTCTTGGCTCTCATTCTCTTTTCTCTTGTCTGCCACCATGTGAGATATGCCTTTCACATTCCTCCATGATTGTGAGGCCTCCTCAGCCAGGTGGAACTGAGAGTCCAATAAACCTCTTTCTTTTGTAAATTGTCCAGTTCCTGGTATGTCTTTATCAGCAGTGTAAAAATTGACTAGCACAGTAAACTGGTACTGGTAGAGTGTGGTGCTGCTATAGAGATACCCAAAAATGTGGAAGTGACATTGGAACTGGGTAACAGGCAGGGGCTGGAACAGTTTGGAGCACTCAGAAAAAGACAGGAAAATGTGGGAAAGTGTGAAACTTCTAGAGACTTATTGAATGGCTGTGTCCAAAATGCTGATAGTGATGTGGACAATGAAATCCAGGCTGAGGTGATCTCAGATGGAGATGAGGAACTTGTTGGGAAATGGAGCAAAGGTGACTCTTACTATGTTTTAGCAAAGAGGCTGGCAGCATTATGCCCCTGCCCTATAGATGTGTGGAACTTTGAAGGGAGATAATTTAGGGTATCTGGCAGAAGAAATTTCTAAGCAGCAAAGCATTCAAGAAGTGACTTGGGTGCTGTTGAAAGCATTCAGTTTTATAAGGGAAGGAGATCATAAAAGTTCAGAAAATTTGTAGCTTAACAATGCAATAGAAAAGAAAATCCCATTTTCTGAGAAATTCAAGTTGGCTGTCGAAATTTGCATAAGTAATGACGAGCCGAACATTAATCATCAAGACAATGGGGAAAATGTATCCAGAGCATGTCAGAGGTCTTCATGGCAGCCCCTCCCACCACAGGCCTGGAGGCCTAGGAGGAAATAGTGGTTTTGTGGGCTACGCCCAGGATCTCCATGCTGTGTGCAGCCTAGCAACTTGGTGCCCTGTGTCCCAGTCACTATAGCCGTGGCTGAAAGGGGCCAACGCAGAGCCTGGCCTGTGACTTCAGAAGCCTTGAGCCTTGGCAGCTTCCCTGTGTTGCTGAGCCTGTCAGTGCACAATAGTCAAGAACTGGGGTTTGGGAACCTCCGCCTAGATATCAGCAGATGTATGGAAACACCTGAATGTTCAAGCGGAAATTTGCTGCAGGGGCGGGGCTCTCACAGAGGACCTGTCCAGGGCAGTGTGGAAGGAAATGTGGGGTTGGAGCCCCAACATAGAGTTTCTACTGGGGCACTGCCTAATGGAGCTGTGAGAAGAGGGCCATTGTCTTCCAGATCCCAGAATGGTAGATCTACCAACAGCTTGCACTGTGAGCCTGGAAAAGTCACAGACACTCAATGCCAGACTATGAAAGAACCCAGGAGTGGGGAGTACACCGCGCAAAGTCACAGGGGTGGAGCTGCCCAAGGCCACAGGAGCCCACCTCTTGCATCAATGTGACCCAGATGTGAGACATGAAGTCAAAGGATCATTTTGGAGGTTTAAGATTTGACTGCCTTGCTAGATTTTGGACTTGCATGGGGCCTGTAGCCCCTTTATTTTGGCCAATTTCTCCCATTAGGAATGGTTGTATTTACCCAATGCCTGTACCCCCACTGTATCTAGGAAGTAACTAACTTGCTTTTGATTTTACAGGCTCATAGGCAGAAGGGACTTGCCTTGTCCCAGATGAGACTTTGGACTGTGGACTTCTGAGTTAATGCAAAAATGAGTTAAGACTTGGGGGACTTTTGGGAAGGCACGATTGGTTTTGAAATGTGAGGACATGAAATTTGGGAGGTGCAGGGGTGGAATGATATGGTTTGGCTGTGACCCCACCCAAATCTCATCTTGAATTGTACTTCTGTAATTCCCATGTGCTGTGGGAGGGACCCAGTGGGAGAAAACTGAATCATGAGGGTGGTTTCTGCCATACTGTTTTTCATGGTAGTGAATAAGTCTCATGAGGTCTGATGTTTTTATAAACCCCATTCTCTTGGCTCTCATTCTCTCTTGTCTGCCACCATGTGAGATGTGCCTTTCACCTTCTGCCATTATTGTGAGGCCTCCCCAGCCAGGTGGAACTGTGAGTCCAATAAACCTCTTTCTTTTGTAAATTGTCCCATCTTGGATATGTCTTTATCAGCAGTGTGAAAATGGACTAATACAAAATGTTTATACTATAAAGGCACATACATCAGAGTTTGATATTGAATCTCTTGGATTTTTCACAAATACTTACAGAGGAAAGAAAATATCTCTTCTCTCTATTCCCAGCAAATGGCACAGTGCCTGGCACACTGTAAGCACTTAATACATGTTTGTTGAACTAACCTAGAGGAGTTCCTTCAAATATTATAACTTCTTGAAATTGAATATTAAACTACTAGAAATAGAGAAATGTAGCTAGGTTCATGGATTACAAAAACAGACATAGCAACGTAAGATAATTTATATGTTATTTTCGAGACTATTTCTCTATTTTTATTAAATAATCAAAGAAATGAAAAGGATGGTAATATAAAATATAAAACTCAAACATTACAATTTCAAATCATTTAAACTCAACAGAGAGGACCGATCAATTTAAAAGTAAATATATTCTTTTTTTTTTTTTTTTTGAGACAGAGTCTTGCTGTGTTGCCCAGGCTAGAGTGCAGTGGTGTGTTCTCAGCTCAATGCAAACTCTGCCTCCTGAGTTCAATTGACTCTCATACCTCAGCCACCTGAATAGCTGGGAGTACAGGCGCGTGCCCCCACATCCAGCTACTTGTTTTGTATTTTTAGTAAAGAGGGTGTTTTACCATGTTGGCCAGGCTGATCTTGAACTCCTGGCCTCAGGTGATCCACCTGCCTTGGGCTCCCAAAGTGCTGGGATTACACATACGAGCCACGGTGCCAAGCCATAAATATATTCTTGTATGATTAAAAACAAATGTTATATACTACAGTGTTTATTGATAAATGATACAGATAACATGTTTGGGATGAGGTTTGGGAGTGGGGAAGGAGAGGGTGAAGAGCATGAGAAAATAAGACTGGGCTGGGCATGGTGGCTCACACCTGTAATCCCAGCACTTTGGGAGGCTGGGAGGTGGAAGGACAGCTTGAAGCTAGGAGTTCAAGACCAGCCTGGGCAACAAAGTGAGGCCTCATCTCTACAAAATGTAAAAAAATAAAAAAAAATTAGCCGGGGATCATGGCATATGCCTATGGTCCTATGTACTCAGGAGAATGAGACAAGAAGGTAAGTTTGAGCCTAGAAGTTTGAGGCTGCAATGAGCTATGATCACACCACTGCACCTCAGCCTAGGTGACACAGTAAGACCCCCATCTCTGGAAAAAAAAAAAAAAGACTAACCATATGTTGAAAATTAGTGATGGGTACATGCAAGTTATTATACTAGTCTTTCTACTTTTGTGTATACTTGAAATCTCCATAAGTTTTTTTAAAGCCACTGTCCTAGAAAACATATTTTAAATTAGTATGAAATAGTCATTTCAAAAAATCCTTCAGTGATGTAATTAAAACAGATTAATCTTTCATAGTAACTTAAGAATCAAAGATCTTAAGTTTATGTTAACTTGATTTTCTAAATAATCATAAAAATGTAGGCCATATCTTTTATGTTTTGTTCTCAAACAGGGATGACAAACCATATATTGATAATGTAATACAACTGTTATAAAATCTCTTATTAAAAATAAAATTTTTACTATGAAGTTATATTGAAAAATAGGCTGGGCATGGTGGCTTACACCTGTAATCCCAGCACTTTGGGAGGCCAAGGTGGGTGGATCACCTGAGGTCAGGAGTTCAAGACCAGCCTGACCAACATGGCAAAACCCCATCTCTACTAAAAATACAAAAATTAGCCGGGTGTGGTGGCGTGTGTGTGTAGTCCCAGCTACTTGGGAGTCTTGAGACAGGAGAATTGCTTGAACCTGGGAGGCGGAGGTTGTAGTGAGCTGAGATTGTGCCGCTGCACTCCAGCCTGGGTGATGGAGTAAGACTCCATCAAAAAAAAAAAAAAAAAAGACAGAAAGAAACAAAAAGAAAGAAAGAAAGAACGAAAAAGAAAGAAAGAAAGAAAAAGAAAGAAAGAATGAAAAAGAAAGAGAAAGAAAGAAAGAAAGAAAAGTATTCTTATATCTATCGATATTTTACTTTATCTACTCTTTTATTCCTCCTTTTTAAAAAATATATAAGGCCAGACATGGTGGCTCATGCCTATAATCCCAGCACTTTGGCAGGCTGTGGTGGGAGGATCACTTAGGCCCAGGAGTTTGAGACCAGCCTGGGCAACATAGGAAGACCCTGTCTCTACAAAAAATTTCAAAATCAGCCAGGCATGGTGGCTTGTGCCTGTAGTCCCAGCTACTTGGAAGGCTGAGGTGGAAGGATCTGCTTGAGCCCAGGAGGTCGAGGCTGCAGTGAGCCATGATCACGCCACTGCACTCCAGCCTGCGCAACAGAGTGAGACCATGTCTTAAAAAAAGTAAATAAGTAACAAAAACCAAATAAGTAAAATATATTCTGCAGCAGTGCCAATGCATAAAAATAAAAATAAAATACATATTAATACAACTACCCACCAACTCCAGTTACCATCTCCTCCTGCTCTGGCTTGTCTTCTCCAATGCAATTAATCCAAACCTTATCTATACCTTGACTTCTCTTCAGGAGTCACACGTAGCTCTGAGACTGCTTATCGGCTAGTACTAAGCAGAAAGAAGAGATACAGAAAGCATGTCCAAAAGCACTGACGTGATCTCATCTCAGGTACTGTGCACATGTTAAGTGCTCAATAAAAGTCTGTTGAATGAAGTTTATTACGCATTCAACAAGCCTAGAAAAAGTGGGGCAGGGCAGGAAGAGCGGGGGAAGCAACAGATCATGTTCCAATGCAGGGATGTGTGAAACTATATAGCATTTTCAGGAATTTTAAGAACTTCAGTTTGGCAGAAATAATGTGGATGGGAGGGGTGGTAGCAGCCAGTGAGAGAGAAGTTAGAGATGTAATCAAGAGCTGAATCATGGAAAGTTTTCTATGCCACAATAAGGAATCTATATTTATATCTAGCAGGAAATCAGGAATATTTAAAAGGTTTTGAGAAAAGAAAGATACAGTGATGTTTGTGTTTTAGGAAGGAAGACTTTCTGGTGGTAGTGTACATACAGCATATCCCAGAAGTCAGAGGCAAGACTAGAGGCAGAGAAATGTATAAAGTAGTTCAAGGAAGACATGATACAGGCCTGGACTAAGTTAACAGGGGTAGGAATGAAGCCAAGTAGAAGTATGAAAGCCATGGAGGTAGAACTGACAGAAACTGACTAATTGGGTCTATAGGCTGAACATTCCCAAACTGAGTATCTAAAATGCTCCAAAACCCTAAACTTTTTGAGTGCCAAGATAATACTTTAAGAAAACGCTCACTGGAGCATTTCAGAATTTCAGATTTTCAAATTTGGGGTGCTGAACCAGTAAGTATAAAACAAATATTCCAAAACCTAAAAAAATCCAAAATCCAAAATACTTCTTGGTCCCAAGCATTTCACATAAGGGATATCAACCTGTAACAGATCACAGAAAGGAAGGAATCTAGGACAACACTAGGTTTCTCGACTGAGGACAGGGAAAGAGAACCGACACAGATTTTGAAGGAGAGGTTACATAAGAAATGACTGAAAAAGAAACATCAAAACCTAACAGCATTTATAGACTTTAATCAAAATGGCATAATAGAAATGAAAGCATGTGAAGAATTCTTTTATATTTTTTACTCACCTCAGAATCACAGCTGCTAAAGCTAACAACAGCAGAATTTTTATCCACATCAAGTAAATCTATTGGAACATCACTCTACAGTCAATATTAAAAAAAAGAAGGTTTAGATGGAAAACCTAAAAATGTTCATAAATTATGTTTTCTCTAAGAGTTCTCCTTAGTTCTAGTTTATATTCATCTTTAAATCTGAGAGTATGAATTCTCTTAATTTATAATTGATAGTATATATTTCTAGAAAATAAATATAATAAAGAATAAATGTTATTTTACAATCACCTGTTTTGTTCTAACTTGGAATATAAAAATCACAGAATATAATCTCCTACCACCCCCTTAGAAGTCCAATTGTCCCACTTATTTTTGTAAAGTACTAAAAATGTTACTATGAGCTATAAATAATCACATGGCCATTCTGATTCATTTTTAGCAGTTTCAATTTCACCTGTAACACAGAAAGAAGATAATTTTTGGTCTCCCCTGGAGAGGCAGTTTCTAGGACAAAGCTGTTGCACTGTGTTCTACGTGAATGGCATTCCCAGAGTTGCTCAATGCAACAACCCATGAGCTAGCATTCCTTAAGAGAGTTTTCTGCCTTTAGGTTTTTAAAAATAATCTGATATCTTCATTACGTCTTTTTAAACCTTCTCTTCCTCCAATTTATTATGTTCTCATTTTGTGATTGGTTTACTATCTGTTCCTTGTTTTCTATTCATCCTATTATTCTTTTCTACTTCCTGAATACCTTCTAATTTAAATAAGTCAGCAAATGTATACATTGATGAATGGAGTCATACATTATTACCCCTAAATTTCACCCTTTAGGATTTTCTACTTTGCCTGTTGACCTGCCAGAAACTACTGGGTTAATGAGCAAGCTGTACTTTAACGTTTGGGGCTTAAAAAGAAAAAGTTCTAGCAAGGGCGTTAAATATGGTAGTTTTCTAAGTCATATCTTTGTTAAGATTCTCCCAGAGGGTAGCCAAAGAAGAAAAACTTTACTGTCTTTTCTATTTCTTCTTAAAATTTAAGCCCATCTTTGGTTTATTAAGTACATAAATAAAAAGTAAAAATACAATTCAAATAATCTATGAGCAAACAATAGATTAAAAGGCCATAAACATTTAAAATTACTGTCTATGGCTGGGTGGCGTGGTTCACGCTTGCAATCCCAGCACTTTGTGAGGCCGAGGCAGGTGGATCACCTGAGGTTAGGAGTCCAAGACCAGCCTGGCGAACATAGTGAAACCCTGTCTCTACTAAAAATACAAAATTAGCCAGGCGTGGTGGCACCTACCTGCAGTCCCAGCTACTCGGGAGGCTGAGAGGCAGGAGAATCACTTGAACCTGGGAGGCGGAGGTTACAGTGAGCTGAGATTGCACCACTGCACTCCGGTCTAAGTGACAGAGTAAGACTCTGTCTCAAAAAAATAAAAATAAAAAAATAAAAAATTACTGTCTAAAACTAAAAATGTTCAATAATAATTAGTACATATGACTGGTTTGTAAAATAGATCCAGTCATAAAACTAAGAAATTAGACATTTTGCTTACCTGTATTAAGACATTATCTATTGCAGTCTGTACCTCTAAGATAAGGCTATAACTGGCATCATCTTTATTTAGTGTAAATTTATCATTTATACCAAAGGAAGGTACTGCTGATTTTGCTTTGCTTGATTGAGAAGACTGCTGATAATTCTCTCTTTCCTGCAATACCTTATACTGCAGATGTTCCAACTCATTCCTGGAGAAAAACATACACAAATTTGTCAAATGTAAGTATAAACATTTGAGGTCCTTAGAATGTTTACAAAAATTTGAGACATTTGCTTTTACAAAATGTGTTTTTATTAGTTGAGCTAATAAAATAAAAATAAAGGGAACAAAATTTTTGCTTCTATGACTGACTAAATGATTCCACATTATTTATCCTTAACCCAAAAATTAAAACACGTACTCAGTCCCATACTAGCAATATTAATAGTGAGTTTTAAATATCATGGTAGGCTACAAAATAATGAATCTTAACACAGGAATCTTAGTACAGTTACATAAAATACTAATCAGAAGAGAAACTTATTATACTAAAGAGAAATTAATATTGCAGAACATACTAGACTTAATGAAAAGAGATAAAATGTGTGAAGCTAGTAAACATGTAACTTTAAGTAAGACACTAGGGAAGACATAAAAAATAAAAAGGAAGCTGCAGAATATTAGCATTTTGGGGACCACAAGGATGATCATGAGCCAATGGTACAGCTTAACTACCAAGTGTTGGAGAGGATTCTGCTGAGACTGAACTACACAGGCATTGCTTAGAGCTCCAGTTAAGGGGAAGGTCCACATGCAAATGGAGTGAACAGTCATTGGGATAGAACAACATGAGGCTTAACTAGCCACAATTTAGGAAGAAAAGTCTAGGGAGGAGCTTGGAAGGGATTTGTGTGATGAACAAAGGAAAAGATTCATTCATTAAAGAATATTTACTGCTAAATATTACAGATTTACTCCTATGTACCTAGCAGTGTTTGGGTATCAAATGAACAAATCAGACATGAGCTTCTCGTAAAGCTTACATTCCAGTGTGGAATCAAGAAATGGTAGACTTGGTTATAAATAAAAGGTACTATATTGAGGATGTGAGAGAGTAGTCATTAACTATACTTGTATCCTTGTTGCATGAAGTAGGATATCCTGAATGAATCTGGCATACTTGTTTGCATGAACATTACAGCTTGCTCTCTGGTGGCTTTGGTGAAATGGCTTGTACTACTAGTACTTGTGGCATTTGCTGCCTTAAAAGTCTCTGTAGCCTTCAACTACCACCAAAAAAAGATCATCCTTCACTCCACAAAAGGTCAGCATGGGTTGAAATGGGGAGAGCAGTCATTAAAAGTTTCAGCAACTCCTACTTCTTTATTGTATGAAGCATCTTTATTTGAGTTTGAGGTCCCCCTTTTCATAGCACACGTCAAATTGAGCATACCATAAAAGCAATTCTTGCGTCTAGGGGAGTCAACATTACTCAGTTCCAGTTAAGAAAATTTATAAGCCAACATTACAGATTCAGAAGGGTCCACAGGAAGAGTAAATGTTAGAGTTAATGAGAAATAATACAGCCATCTGTGTTGATTTATTTCTAATGTCTATGAAAATCAAAAAATAAAACACTACAAGTGTCTATGACGTAAAAAAAAAAAAAAAAAATGAAAAATACAACTCTTGACCTAAGAAAAAGTCAATTCAGAATAAGGCATAGAAATAAAGTATATTTCTATCTCCAAAATATTAATCAGCACTTACTGCTAATTTTCTCAAAACTGTAAACTTTCATTTTAAAAGGTGATTAATTAATTATATAATTCCTTCCAATAAAATATACTCCATCTATAAGTAATAAAAAGCAACAACCACACACTTCATGAGATTTTTAAAAAAGCAAATAAAAAACTCAAAGTTACCGTAAGGAAGAAATTTTATTCTGCATCTCCTGATTAAATTTTAGTTCTTCTCCTGGTCCACTTTCCTTATGAATGGGCTCTGTTGTCAGACCTGTAACCCAGCCTGTAGAGATGAATTACAGTCACGCACCACTTAGTACTGCTGGTGTTAAAAAAGATAAATTATGCATTGTGTAGCAGAAACTCCAATGTACATGCCCCTTTGTCCACCAATATCAGCCTGTCTTAACCCTAGGACTTCATTCAAAAACAAAACACAAAATCAAGCTGGAAAATATTCAGACTATAGAGAAATTACTTAAGCATTTCACGATATCTTTTTTTTTTTTTGCCTGAAATACCATAATACTATAATGAAGGGAATCTTTTACTTCTTAACAGATTTAAAATATGGAGTAAGTCAACATAGTCTAGCAATTTCAAAAATAGCTGAAAAATAAGAATTGCCTTTTAAAAATTACTTTCATGGAAATTTAAACTCTCACATGACTACTATGAGGATGCAAAAATTACCAATTCAAAAGAAGTTTTGGCAAGTTTTTGAGACCCTGTCTCAAAATAAAAGTTTTTTTATCAGACACATACATAGTCCAAAACATAAAATAAATCTCAATAAGTACTTCTCTTTAAATCAAATAAGATAATTTAATAAAGGTAAGAGTGACATGCTAAACACTCTTAAAAAGTATTATTCAAATATCAACTATTTTATAAATCAAGAAGCCTATACTTTCTCCTTATTTTTTAACCAAGGAAGTTTTTAATGCTAAAAGTAAGAGTGATTGATTAACACAGCAGCCTCCCCTTATCCACGATTCCACTTTCTGCATTTAAGTAACCCATAGTCAATGGTAGGCTGACATATTAAATAGAAAATTCCAGAAATAAGTCCTAAGTTTTAAATTGTACAACATTCTGAATAGGGCGATAAAATCTCATGCCATCCTGCTCCATTCTGCCCAGGATGTAAATCATCCCTTTATCCAACATATCACCTGCTGTATATGATACCTGCTACCAGCCTATCTATTGTTCGCTTAGAAGCCAAACCAGTTATCAGATCAACTGTTGCCGTATCATAGTGCTTGGGTTCAAGTAACCTTACTTTATTTAATAAGGGCCCCAAAGCGCAAGAGTAGTGATGTTAAGCATATTGTTATAATTGCTCTATTTTATTATTCATTATTGTTAATCTTGTACTATGCCTAATTTGTAATTAAACTTTATCACAGGCATGTAGGTATAGGAAAAAAATATACACAGGGTTCAGCACTATCTGAGGTTTGAGGCTTCCACTAGGGGTCTTGGAACAGATTCCCTATGAATAAGGGGGGACTACTATAACTCTTTTTAAAAAAGAGACATCAAAAGCAGTTTATTAAGTTTAGATTTTTTTGTTGCTGACTCTTTCTTCAATTACCTATTATCATTTACTTTACCTGAATATGTGGACACCACGATTTCATCATAGCTGTCTTTTCCTACACAACCACCCTGGATAGATGTGACACTTTCAGACAACATCTAAGGAAGTTTAAGACCAAGCACTTCATTAGTAACTAAAAAATTCAGACATGTTAAAAATAAGCTACACAACGTTTTCCCTGGCTCCAGACATTCAACATATATTTACTGAATGCTTATGTGCAGACACTCAGATTAGAAAGACAAAATATCTTGAACAAATGGCAGGAAACTTCAGTGTTTTTAAATTTGGGAAAGAAGATTCAAAACGATCCTAGTATATTTGTGGGTACCACTCAACTAACGATATACTCATCTAATGAGCTAAAATAGTTTATTTATTTATTTAGAGACAATGTCTCCCTCCGTCACCCAGGCTGGAGTGCAGTGGTGCAATCACAGCTCACTGCAGCCTTGACTTCCTGGGCTCAAACGATCCTCCTGCTTAGGCCCCAGAGTAGCTGGGACTAGAGGTGCGTGCCACAACGCTGGGCTAATTTTTCTATTTTTTGTAGAGATGGGGCTTCGCCATGTTTCCCAGGCTGGTCTTCAAATCGTGGGCTCAAGCAATCTGCCACCTTGGCCTCCCAAACTGCTAGGATTATAGGCGTGAGCCATAGCTTCCGGCCAGTTTATTTTCATAAAGAAAGGTTTCTTTAAAACTTACATAAGCAAGGCTGGGCGCGATGGCTGACGCCTGTAATCCCAGCACTTTAGGAGGCCGAAGTGGGCAGATCACGAGGTCAAGAGACCGAGACCATCCTGTCCAACATGGTGAAACCCCATATCTACCAAAAATACAAAAAAATTAGGTGGGCGTGGTGGTGCGTGCCTGTAGTCCCAGCTACTTGGGAGGCTGAGGCAGGAGAATCGCTTCAACCCCGAAGGCGGAGGTTGCAGTGAGCCGAGATCATGCCACTGCACTCCACTCTTGCTACAGAGCGAGACTCTGTCTGGGGAGAAAAAAAAAAATTACATAAGCAAAAAGCAAAATACCCTGTAAGTTTAGTCTATTATCTGAATTCCATGCACCATCTCTTATGTGTATTCTCAAAATAGTTTTTTAGATAAATAAAGAAGATGGTAACCTATATGGAATCTTTAGGAAAACTGCTATTGTGGAGAGAAATCAAGTTTTTTCAGATGACTCAGTGTTTATAATAACCATCTTTTAAGCAATACTTCCCAAACTTATTTGACAACCACTTAGGTAACTCAACTAGGAATCTGTATTTTTTTTTCCTTTCTTTCTTTCTTTTAAAATAATGCAGGGAGCTGGTTTTTTGTTTTTGTTTGTTTTTTTAGACAGGCCATTGATCTGTTGCCCAGGCTGGAATGCAGTGCGTGATCACGGCTCACTGCAGCCTCAACCTCCCAGGTTCAAGTGACCCTCCCAATTTGGCCTTCCAAGTAGCTGGGACTACAGGTGTACACCACCATACCTAGCTGATTTTTAAATTTTTTTTTTTTGCAGAAATGGGGTCTCCCTATGTTGCCCAGGCTAGTGTTGAACTTCTGGGCTCAAGCAAACCTCCCACCTTGGCCTCCCAAAGTGCTGGGATTACAGGTGTAAGCCACTGTGCCTGGCCAGAAACTCTGTTTTTAACAAACACTCTAGGTCGGTGGCTTTCAAGCTATTTGGAAAGCAAGCAATAAATTTTATATTACAATCTGGTATACATTCACACATAAACATATAAAGCAATGTATCTAACTTAAAAGATTTGTGTCATACTCTGATATGTTCTAATCTATTCTGTTTTTTAAAAACTGCACTGGCAACACACTAATTGGTTTTGACTAGCAGTTTGAAAAACTCTGGTATGTAATTCTTAGCAGGCAAGACTGAGAACTTTTGTTTTAAAGGAGGGAGTGGAAGGAAGGGACACTAGCATTAAACCAGACAATCAACAAAACACTAGTTCTCTTCACCTACCCTATAGGGGGCAAACCTCTGAGCTATCCTGCAAATTAGGATGTGATAGTTGTTCCTGAGGCTAATTACCTGAGAAATTCAAGTAACAAAGGTTTGATTATAAATCACATAAAGTTAGATTTACAGGTGGGGTCAAATATCTGCATTTTTAACAAGTGTCCAGTTGATGTGTATAATAAAAGTTTTCAAAAAATTGTTTTTTATTGATCTGACAACTTGATTAGATCTTCCTTTAATTTACTGAACACAAAACACTGGAAATCACCTGACTTGCAGAATAATGTTTTACTCAACCAATAGAAACACGCACATTCTCACTTTCTGAGTGGTTTATCAGGGAACTATTAATTACAACTTTAAAGAGTATTTTAATGCAATATACTTGGAAAACATTTTTAAAACTATTCATTTCCTTTTTTAACTGTTTATTTCTATATACTTTTTTGCTAATAGAACATTTTAATGAAATTCATTTATCTTATGTACTTATATAAAAAAATTGGGGCTACTCTGCACACTGCCTGTGGGGTAGCCTTGTTCTGCAAGGAGCAGGAAAAGAAAAACAAAGGAAAAAGGAAGGAAGGAGGGAGGGAAGGGAGGGAGGGAGGGAAGGAGGAAAGAAAGGGAAGGGAGGGAGGGAGGCAGGAAGGAAGGAAGGAAGGAAGGAAGGAAGGAAGGAAGGAAGGAAGGAAGGAAGGAAGGAAGGATCCTATAACCATAAAATCAGAGATCCTGGGCAATATACTATGCATAAGTTTTATGTAAGAAAACATGGAACTAAACTTACAAAAAAAAGACCTTGGTCCTTCCTCAAAATATTGGCAAATGAGTATATAAGTTTAAGTTAAAATGCAATGTTCAAGGTATACATATTTTCTCTTTTTATGATTTACCCCTTAACTATCTTTTTTGATTAATCAACCATCTACCAGTCCATACTGTATCAGACAGTAGGTCTCCTCCTGATTATAAAAGCAACATAGTAAGTGATGATGTGAATCCAAGATGACGCAGAGTACTCCCAACCTAAGCATAACCTGAAAGCAGGACCTCTGTCATTAGACAGAAGAAATAAGAGGAAGATAGGATTTCTTAGTGCCAGACCTGGCAGAACAGGTAAATGCTATGACATTTCTGGGGTTTAGAATGAAAGTCAAAGAGGAGACTTGGGGTCCGAATAGGAAAGCTTCTCAAAGGGCTGATGAGAAAAAGCAGGAGATCATCAACAATGGATTATTATTTCTAAGCCTAGACTATTACTTGCCTCATTAGCAGGATGACTTTTTACACCAAAACAAGATGAACAAATTTGAAACCAATCTAAAAAATAACCTCAACTGTGTAACATTTTTATCCCTATATTTTCTAAATGATATATTTTACCTGTGCTTCAAACCACTTGTATTTTCTGAACTACAGTTAAAGTTAGGATTGGGAGATACCACTAGTAGAGAAATTAGACCAAAAAAAAAAAAAAAAAAAGAGTTGACACTTGAGTTGTGAACTCTTTTATTTCCTTTAAGTTTAATAGCCTCAGTATGTCCTATATGAGGCAGGATAGGGAAGCCCGGGATTGGAGAACACTAGTTCATGAAAAGGAAAGATTCAATTTATGCCAGAATGCTTCTCTATGTAACTTTATAGCTTGGCATAAATCAGCTTAATTACATTTAAAATTTGTGAACTAAAATTACTTTTATCTAGTGTTTCTTCTTATACAGGCAGCCCTTGAGTGGGTAGAGTGAAACTGCTACTTTTTTCCTTTTGCTTAAGGTTATTTCTGATACTGTCCTAACAATATGAAGTTTATTCCTAAAATCTTATTATTTTAAAACAACAGACTCATTTATATTAACCAAACATATAAATATTACTCCTATAAAGTGTCATTATATGTTATAAACTAAGGCAAAATATTTAATACTTTAGATACTTATAATAATATTTTAAAGTATAATGAAAAAGTAATTTATTATCCTGCTTAAAGGCAAGAGTCTATTATTCAAACATAAGAGAAGTCTGGAGAAGATTCTGATAACATCAAAATAGCAATATTTTAAACCAAACACAAGATTTTAATATATTTTCACTTAATAAAATTCAAACCATCTGTCATCTCTATAATAATTTGACAAATAATAAGCATATATAGTCTTTTTTAATGAACTTACCTGATCAAATCGTAGAACAGGTTCATTTGCATTATCAAAACTATACACTTCCACCATTCCGTCATCTCTCCCAACAAGTAAATCTTTAACCCCATCACCCACAATGTCAAAGCTGTCAATACACAAAATACCTTTAAAAAGAGATATGTGATAAGTTATTAAGAAGACTAATAGTTATCGTCAAGTATATGCCAAGTAAGAATGAAAATAACACATATTCCGACTCAGAATGCTGAGTAAAAATCTTTGAGCAAAATCAAGTGCTCTTCTCTTGTCCATCCACATTCATCTATTTCCAGGTCTTTAAATATAATCTGTGTGAGAACGGCCCCTACATTTATATCTCCCTCCAGCTCTGGCCAAAGCTCCAGACTGATATATTCAATTTGGTATCTTCTCACAGACATCTGCATCTTAAACTTTCCATACCCCAAACAAAACTCTTTATTCCCCTTTTTACCATACCCCCTCAATACTGCTCCTCCCTCTGTCTTCCCCCATCTCCATAAATTATTCTACCTAGCTGCTTAGACAAAAATTCTGGGCTACATCTCTGATTTCTTTTTTTCTCACCACCCCTCATATCAAAACCACTAGCAAATTCCATCTTCTCTACCTCCACAATATATACTGAAATTGTCTCCTTTAGGTTTCCAGCTACTGATAGCCTAGACTAAGCTAGCCTAGACTAGAATAAATTATAATAACTCTTCCAGCTGGTCTCCATGCTTCCAATTTTGACCTGCTTCCTCCCGCCCCCTCCAATCCATTCTCCAAACAGTGTCCTTTGTTTTGTTTAGGCTTAGTAAATTAAATGTCACACTCCCACTGAAAATTTTCTGATGACTTCCTACAGCACCTAGATTAAAATTCAAACTGTTTTCCAAGGCTTACACAGTTTGGCTCTACTCTACCTCTCTGACTCCATCTCCTGCCATGTTAATGCATTTAGCCAAACTGACCTTCCTACTGTTCCTCAAATGAATCAAATCTACCTCCACCTCAAATCTTTCGCACTTACTTCCTCCTCTTCCTGAAACATTTTTTTCCCCGCAAATCTGCATATTGCTAACTCTTTTTCTTATCAGTTGAATCTCATTTCAAATTTCACCTCTTCTAAGAGGCTATCTTTGACTACCTGGTATAAAAGTGACCCTCCTCCTTCTATCATCACTCTCCAATACACTGCCCTGTTTTATTTTCTTCAGGTGACTAGGTAAAGCTGTCTTATGTATTTATTTGTTTTTACTCTGTCTCTCCTAATAAGTATTTGTTGAAAGAATAAATGAATATATGAACATCCTGAACATATACATAGGCATCTCACTATCTACCAAATCAGTTATAAATTCTCCTTAGAAAGTTATAAATTCCTTAGAAAACAGGAATATTCTCTGACCCACTGCACTTCCTCTTTGCTTCATAACAAAGACTCCTAGATTCCAATTAATTCTGTACCTCAGACAACTAAGTTACCTCAGACAACTAAAATCCAATTAAAACTGGATTTTAGCATAAAATGATATTAGCCTGTAAAAACGCATCAATACCAAATTACTATAAGCATTTCTTACTTTAAAAGAATTATGCCAATAGTATAACAGACCCGACAAATAAACAAATAGTAGATAAATCAAGGTGTGAATTGCTAAGTCTGCTATGTAGTATAAATAAAATAGAATAAATTATATAATTTAAGATACTTAATAATCATTGACACCTCAGAATCTGAACTACATGAAAAGCATACCTCCCCTCTTTTTCTCATTTCGAATTTCCCACTTGTGTATTGGTTTGGATGTAGTAATCTGAATAAGCCCAAGTTTTCCATCTGATGTCCCAAACAAAAGGTCTTCTCCAGAGTCACCTAGTTATAATTAAAGTCAACATATTATATTTCTCCTACAATTAGTAATCTCTTTAAAATTAAAATATTGTTATGTAAAAATCTCATTTAAAAAATATTATAAAAAGACATAAAACTTAATTTTTGAGAATGGTTATTATATATTCACTCAATTTTATAGTTATAAGAGATAAGACATTTCCCCATTATCTAATTTTAAGATGAAGAAACTAGGTTGGGTGCCATGGCTCATGCCTGTAATCCCAGAACTTTGGGAGGCTAAGGTGAGAGGATCATTTGAGGCCAGGAGTTCCAGACTAACCTGAGCAACATGGCAAAACCCTGTCTCTAAAAAATGCCAAAAAGCTAGCCGGGCATGGTGATGTGTGCCTGTAGTACTAGGGAGGCTGAGGCGGAAGGATCCCTTGAGCCTGGGAGGTCGAGGCTGTGGTAAGCTGAGATAGTACCACTGTACTCCAGCCTGGGAGACAGAGTGAGAGCCTGCCCCCCAGGCCCCCAAAAACAACAAAAAAACGGAGAGTTAAAAGTTCAATAACTTGTGCTGTTAGTTACTGGCAAGATCTCAGAAAGACAACTGTCTCGTTTCTAGTTTATGTCCTTTCTACAATTTCCCATTTTCACTTAATATTAAAACACATAGTTGATTTGTGAAAAATAAAATCCTGATTACCGCCATTTCCATTGTGTAGTGCTAAGACAGTAGGGGGGCCAGGAACTTCAATTTCATACATCACATCAGATCCCTGAAGGAAAAGAAGTATTTAAAAACTGAAACAGAATACAGACTGAAAATAATAGAGGCATTCATGAATAACATCAATATTCGAATATAGTACTCTTAGTAACACCTAGAATAAAATTGCTTTAAAAATTAGGTTATGAATACAACTTGCATTTGTTAGCAATTTTGCATATATCAACTGATTTGAACACATATATATACACACACGTATATATACACACACGTATATATATACACACGTATATACATATACACACGTATATACACACACACACACATATATATATAGTGTAAAAGACCATGGAGAAAACATTTAAAATATTGTCTACCCTTAATATATTTTAAATACGTTGTTTGCCTGAAAACTTGACACTGGTAGATTTTCCTATCAAGTCTCTAGGAACAAATTATTCCCTGTCCTCTCTAGGTGAACTGGAGAGCTTTAACTTGGAATACATCCAAATATTTTAATAGACACAAAGTTACTTCCTAAGGAAAATGTTGGCCTTGCCTTTGGGTATTCCCAAAATCTGCTCCAGTTAGAGGCAGAATGACCTGCTACTTAGATTAAAAAAAACAAGTTAGGTCCTTTTATATTTCTCAGTTTTTCAATTTTGCTACTTGTAATGCTTGTCATTTGGGGCGCAGTATTTGTGATGCTGTTAAAGAATGATTTAGAAGAACTTATACTCACATGGAAAAAATATCCATGATCTAGAATTGAAAGAAAACACAATTTGCAAAATGGGCCGGGCGTGGTGGCTCACGCCTGTAATCCCAGCACTTTGGGAGGCTGAGGCAGGTGGATCATCAGGTCAGGAGTTCGAGACCAGCCTGACCAACATGGTGAAACCCTGTCTCTACTAAAAATACAAAAAAATTAGCCAGGCATGGCGGTGCGTGCCTGTAATCCCAGCTACTCAGGAGGCTGAGGGAGGAGAATTGCTTGAACCCAGGAGGCAGAGGTTGCAGTGAGCTGAGATTGCACCACTACTCTAGCCTGGGTGACAGAGCAAGACTCTGTCTCAAAAAAAAAAAAAAGAAAAGAAAAGAAAAGAAAAGAGAACACAATTTGCAAAATTATAGTAAATATGGTATGACATTTTTGTTTTAATTTTTTTTTTTTTTTGAGATGGAGTCTCACTCTGTTGCCCAGGCTGAAATGCAATGGTGTGATCTCAGCTCGCTGCAACCTCCACCTTCCGGGTTCAAGTGATTCTCCTGTCTCAGTTGCCCGAGTAGCTGGATTACAGGTGCAGGCCACCATGCCTGGCTAAGTTTTGTATTTTTAGTAGAGACAAAGTTTTGCCATGTTGGCCATGTTGGTCTTGAACTCCTGACCTCAAGTGATCCATCTGCCTCAGCCTCCCACAGTGCTGGAATTACAGGCGTGAGCCACCACACCGGGCCTAAAAAAGTTTAATGTTTATTTAGAAAACATAAGAAAGCCATATACTTTATCTTTTTTTTTTTGAGCCAGGATCTGGTTCTGTCATCCAGGCTGGAGTGCAGTGCAGTGGTGTGATCATAGCTCACTGCAGCCTTGACCTCCCAGGCTCTAGTGATGTTCCCACCTCCGCCTCCTGAGTAGCTGGGACTACTGGCATGCACCACCATGCCCAGCTAAACTTTTTTTTTAAGAGATAGGGGTCTCACTATGTTGCCCAGGCTGGTCTTGAATTCCTGGACTCAAGTGATCTTCCAACCTTGGCCTCCCAAAGTGCTGGGGTAATAGGCCTGAGCCACTGTGCCCAGCCCGCTTTATCTTTTATTTAAAATATCATTTTAAAATTTACAGTTTTCTACACGTAACTATATAAACACAAAAGAATATACACAAAACTGTTTTAAAAAGGCAACCTCTGGGGTAATGGATTATTCATAGAGATAGATGGGGAGTGAGAAAAAAGTATGCAGTGCAGAGGGAAAGATTTCAACTTTATTTTCTACAGATCTTTAGTAATTTTTTTTAAAAAGTAATAAGCATATGGCTCTCTTGTCAAACAAAGCAGAATCCTAGAATTCAGTCAATTTCTAATTGAATGCTAAACAGTTCCTGTTAAAAGCCTTGTTCAAAATAATTCATATTTAAAAGCACAGGCTATGGGGGAAATAAATCATTCATAACTCTAAAATGAACCTTTCTTCTTTTCCTTTTTTTTATTTTTATTTTTTTGAGATGGAGTCTCCCTCTGTTGCCCAGGCTGGAATGCAGTGGCGCAATTTCAGCTCACTGCACGACCTCTGCCTCCTGGGTTCGAGTGCTCTCGTGCTTTAGCCTCCTTCCTTCTGAGTAACTGGAATTACAGGGGTGTGCTACTGCAACCGGCTAATTTTGTATCTTTAGTAGAGACGGGGTTTCACCATGTTGGCCAGGCTGGTCTCAAACTCCTGGCCTCAAATGATCTTCCTGTCTCAGCCTCCCAAAGTGCTGGGATTACAGGTTTGAGCCACGATGCTAAGCCTAAAATGAACCTTTAACATGACTTTGTCCCTGGGGGGTAAAAACCTCATAGACTCACTGGATCTTTCCTTCTACAAAAGCGCTGATGCCAAGAAATGGCCATCTGTCTATGGAATTCCAAAGAGTAAGATAGCCTGTGCTGGCAAGGACTTAACAGCTAAACTTTTTCATCAACTGCGCCAACTATTACCAGCCTGTTTCTGATCCAGTTGATCTACCTGTTATATGCTATTTACATTTAAATATTATTTTAAGCATCCTATAGTGTGTGTGTGTGTGTGTATGTGTGTGCATGCATTTTACTGAAAGCCACTCTCAAGAAGATATAGTGGTAACTATTACTCATAACAATGACCTGAAGCCGTTGTTTTAGTCAATCGTGGTTTTTACCAGAAATATAAGGACATCAAAACGATTTTTCCCTCTATCACTCATTTACTTATCCAACAAATATTTACTGAGTGCTCATTTCATATACTGCCATAAATGCTGGATAAATTCAAGTTATATAAAACCCTCCCCCCAGCCCAATTTCTTCCTTTAATTTGATTTTTTGGGGAAGAGAAAGGTGATGGAAGAAGAAAACAAAACAAAGAGGCAGCCAAAGGTTATCTGTAGTCAAAGTACTCCATTCTGATAATAGCTCAGAAATTGTGGATGGTGAGGCAAAAAATACCCCTTTTCTCCCAAATATGCTTCTCTAAAAACTTACAAAAGAACACATTTGACTCAAGTTAAAAAAATTAATGTGTCAAATTATTTAAAAATTGTTTCCATATATTTATATAAGCACTTAAAACAGTAACCACTATAGTTATTTATCTCAAGTACATAATGTTCATCAATATTCTCTCACATAAATTATAAAAAATTAGAAAAATACAAATAACAGCAACCTGTAAAACTCTGAGCACTCTGTCCTGGCAGGCCAATACAGGTGTGATACGAGATAATCTTTCCACTGGAAGGCAGATAACATCATTGATTTTATCCCCAGAAAGGTAATAATGTTGGTCTTTGCAGTCACAATAATGGTTATAGATGTAACTTGCACTGAGAAAGAGGTCTGAGCCAGATATGTGCCTGAGAACATTAAAATAGCAATTTTTAAAAATAAGCACAGGTACTGAATTTTTTTCAGAGATAAAAACAGAACAATTTATAGTTTACTAACATTTTATTATAGACTTAGAGAACACAGTTTTTAAAACTTTCTCCTACTGAATTTCTAGTCTTTTTGGTATAACACTGTTTTTGATTTTGAAAGCTGAAAATGAGGATGTTAAGGCCTCAGCCTTCCCAATAAAACTGAGCTCAGAAAAATGGAAAACAAAGACAAGATAATGATAATTTAACTGTCTATATCCAAAGGCAATTAATATGTCAAAAAATGACTTCTTTGTGTACTATGTGCCAAGCACTATCTTAAGTGATTTTTATGTATTAGATCAATTAATCATCATAACTCTATAAAATAGGGACCATTATTATTCCTTTTTACAGGTGAATAATAAAATGTTAAATAACTTGCCTAATGGCACCTAATTATTAAGTAGTAGATTAGACTGCAACTCAGTTTTTTGCTCTAGAGTTAGCTTTCTTACCAGCACACTAATTTGCCTGAAAAAATCTATTTTAAGTGACTCTACCTCAAACTAAATGATAAACAGCAGAAAAAAAAATGATTTCATTAGAACTTTATCTTGAAAAGAGAAATGAAAACAAGTTCATTTCAAATTACACTTAACAAAATTTAGTCAATAGTCATAACTATGTTCTAATTCTTAGACTGAATCAAGTTTTCACTTGGGTGAGCTAAAATGGCTTGACAAAAATTTATATGTAAGTGTGATATATTTTTCACTTCTAGATTGTTATTACCATATTTATCATAAAGAGGATAATTTTATTTGAATGTTTCATGTATTCCTCTACCTCCAAGTTCTATTTAAAATTTTTTACATTAAAATTATTATCTAAAGAGCTTATCCTATAATAATCCTCCCTGATTTTCTCTTCTTCAGTTATTAAGTGGCCTCACTTTGTGGCTCTGCATATCATTGAATAGTCCTCTTACTATTTTTATCAACTTCATGAAATTCTGTTTTTCAAAATTTTAAATTCCATTTTGAAACCAATCTGTATTATATTTGCATTATATTGGCCAAAGTACTATTTAGCAATCACTATTGCTGACATGAGTGGGGATACATGGCAGCATTAAGCAGGAAAGGATGTGTAGTGACTAATGTTAAGTGGTCAGTTTCCTTACTGAGTATCTTCAAGTTATAACTTTTGTTTTCCTATAAAACCTTACAAATGTGGGGATTCAGACAATCAATTTTCAAAACTTGAGTAAAGAACTTTTCTATCTCATCTTTGCCACTCTAGTAAAAACATTTAAGAAACCATTTAAAGAGACTATTACTGAGAAACTCCGTATCTTTCTCACACTACTATCCATATACCTGTCCGAATGTAGTTATGCTATTAACACATTACTTTTAGTATTTCACAATTATCATTGGCCATGTCTATATACAAGTGTATTTCAAAAGTGTTACTATTCTTGTTAAACCATTTGAAATTACATATTTCCACTTACCATTGTTTGTTATCTAATTTCACCAAGCCAACATTTTACATCTCAAACATCAGGAGATATGCTGTGCATTATACAAAACTCTTATAATCAGTTGTTTCTAGCCTAAGAGTCTGACTGATTATATAACTTGGCTGCACTAGATTCAAAGGAAGAACTTAAAAAATAAAAACAAAACCTACTCTGGGTTATTCTGATTCAGTAGGTATGAGGTGGGACAAGGAATTAAGTGTCCCAAGGGATTCTTCTAAGTAGCAAATTTAAGAAACAGTGAATTAGATGTTTTAAAGCCCTTTTCAGCTCCCTGTGATTCAAAAACTAAAATCTGAATTGCAAAATTTCACATCAGGAAGCCATTTAGGGAGCTATATTTCACTTAGAGTCTTACCTGATATACCTGAAATTATACCCTATTGGTAATCACTAACTTTGACAGTCAGCCTTTTAACATAGCGATGCTACCTGAAAACCAGAACTAGCAAAAAGAGCCAAGGAACATAAAGCTAAATATCTAGAGATTTATTTTCCATTTTTTCCCATACCTTGATAATGAATCAAAACTGAACCAAGTAGTCAAAAATGATTGTATAAATACTATGAAGTTCTTTAAAACAAAATTTCAACAACCAATTTCATATTGATTGTAGGTCAAATTTAGTTTCTGACTAATAAAATACCTTTAGTTAATTTTATTTTCCAGAATGCCTATTAAGATATGATACTTAATCAGTTGCCTTACATCTATCCAAAATATTATAAATAAGTATGTAAAAATACAAAAAGGAACAATAGACATACATAGCTTTAATGCTTTCAGTGAGGTTTGTTTCAAAAGAGAGGAACTGTTTTCCTCTTTTTGTGAAGGCTCTAATCTCAGATGCTGCAGCAATAAAAATTTTCTCCTGAGGTGTGTTAAGAACCCCTCCTAGTTCCAATCTTGCAATCTTCGGCCCCGGTAAAGTCTTGAACACTGCCTGAAAAAAATCATTCATGAAAAAAGTACATAAATTACTTTATTGTGAGCATTTTTTCCTTTACAATACAAAATGTTAAGATGTTAAATTTGCAAAATATTACAGTTCCACTATATAGAAATAATTTTAGATAATAATCTGTATACTTTAGTAGCTCTTCAGGTTTTTTGCTGTACTCAACTTTTAAATATATATTCCCACACATATTTGCATGTCATTGAAATCTAAATCCTTGCAATTCAAAGTACAGTTCACTAAGCAGCAATGTCAGCATCACTAAATTGATTTAAAATGCAGATCAAATGAATGAGAATCTGTATTTTAACAAGATTCCCCAGCAAGTTCCTATGCATATTGAAGTTTTAGAGGCACTGGCTTAAACAATACTCCTATGAACAGGGAAGTCCATTTGGCAAATTATTTAATGAGGTCCAATGAACATGTTTTTACACTTCAATCATCTTTTAAAACTAATCTTTCCTGGTTTCTTTACAATTTTTATAAATTTTAATAGTAAAGGACTATAGAATTTACTGAAAATGTGAATGTATGACTTAATACCTATAATCATATATCTATTTAACTGAAAACAATATTCATTTCATTAATTTTTTCATGGTTATTTTCCATTTTATTATTTGCACCAGCTTTTTCTCCTCCACTTCCTCCCCATGACTTTATATACAGAGAATAAGATATCTGGGAGAATATGAATAATGGAAACACTGAGTTTCTGGTAGTTTTTATTCTCTTCATCTCTTGGAAATTCCATATAGTATATAATGAATACCAGAATCCACATCGCAGACTCATCATTCTAAATTTCTAATTATGACCTGTAAATATGATAATGTAACAGTAATAACTTCCTTGATTAGGTTAAATTAAGTGGCAAAGGTTGTAGGTTAGTTGCTTCCATGATTACATTATGCTACATAAGATTCTTTCTTAGCAGACTAGAGAAATTTCCTGCTGGCTTTGAAGAATTAGATTACCATGTTGTGAGAAGGACTGTGAGAGGACCACACAGCAAGAAATTGTAGAGACCTCAAAGAACTGAGAGCAAAAAAAAGAAATTTACAGATATTAATAAAGTGGGGACCTCAGTCCTGTAATAGCAAGGAACTGAATTCTGCAAACAACCACATGAGCCTGGAATAAGACCCCACACTCTAGAAAGGAACACAGCTCAGCTGACACCTAATTGCAGCTGTGTGAAACCTTGAGCACAAACTCCTGTGCTACAGAAACTGTTAGATAATAAACGTGTGTTGTGTTAAGGCCCTAAATTTGAGGTAATATATTACACAGCGTAGAAAAGTAACCCACAACCACAGGATGCCAAAGGTGCCTTACAACTAGCTAGCAAATGACTTTTGTGCTGCCTGCAGACTCATACCTCACATTAACTACTTCCCTCAGAACCCATTTTCCATTATCTGTATTTTAGGAAACTTTTAACCTAGTATATTCAATAAATAGTGCATTCTGTTTTAGAGAACTATTTTTCCCCTTCACAAAGCTATACTTACTCCTGCTTCTCCTTTCTTCATGCCAAAGCACATAACTACCCCATCATGATCCCCAATAACCACCTGTAATAGATGGAAGAGAATCGAAAATTACTATTGTTAATATTATGACCTAATAATTATATACAGGGAAAGCAAGATTCTTAATTTATAAATACTGACTTAATAGAGAACAGAAAATCTAGGAAAGACACCCCCACAAAAAATAATCCTCAAAAGAACAAGAGCCAAAAGAGAAGGATATGGAGAGTCATTAGAAAAGTAATTGGCCATAGATTTTGTTCCTATAATGTTAATAGGACAACACAAATATTTTTTTTTTTTTTTCAACTTTTATTGTAGGTTCTAGGAGTCCACATGCAGGCTGTTATGAAGGTATACTTCCGGATAATGGATTATGGTCAGAAATGCCTACAAAGTAATTTTTTTTTTTCATAACTGGAGCATAAGAATATTTTAAGATTAACTTTTAAAACAGATTATCAAATAAAGTTGTGAGTGACATATTTAATAATGTTAAACACCTTTTTTAAAAGTAAAATTTTAATGTATGAAAATGTACACAAAATATTATAATGAATTATCATGTGCCCATCACCTAGTTTCAACAATTACTAACATGTAGACAATGAATTATTTTGAAATAAATATAGAGGGACATTTTAACACTTCTTCCTCAAAAGGAGATATCAAACAACCTTGGACCAGTTCCAGTCCATGGCCTGTTGGGTACCAGGCCACACAGCAAGAGGTAAGCAGTGGGAAAGCAATCATTTACAGACTGAGCTCCGCCTCCTGTCAAATTGGCAGCGTCATCAGAGTCTCATAGAAGCACAAACCCTATTGTGAACTGCGCATGGTTGTATGCTCCTTAGGAAAATCTAACTAATTCCTGATGATCTGAGGTAGAACACAGTATTATCACAAAACAATCCCAGCCCGATTGGTGGAAAAACTGTCTTCCACGAAACTGGTTCCTGGTGCTAAAAAAGTTTGGGAGCTCTGGTTTAAGAAACTACTAATCAAGTTTAGGCATAGTATCAAATAGAAAGAGTCACAATCATCTGAAAAAGTTATTTAAATACCCCTCCTTATTTCCAACTATGTATCTGTGTAAGCTGATTTTCTTCAAATATTTCAACCAAAACAACATAGCACGAGATTGAATGCAGTAAACAAATATGAAAATCTGTGTGTGTATGCTTATGCCAGACATTAACCAAGTTGCAAAAAGTATAACATAATGATACTATACTCATTAAATTCTTTTTTGTTTTGAAAAATAATTATTTTTCATAAAGACGTGTTATATAAACATGTAATGAGTTAATTTTTCAATAAAAGAGTTTAAGCATTTCTTAGTCTTCATTTTAATACAGTGAGTATTGATACATACAACTTACATTAAAAAATGTTCTTTGAGATCCTCAATCATTTAATTGTGTAAAGGGGTGCTGAGACCAAAAAGTTTGAGAAGTGCTAATCTAGGAGACTTAATACAATAAATGACAATCAGAAATCTGTTGGTTTATCTTTTTCATTTTGTTCATTTAATTTTATTTTTAAATTGACAACAATTGTACATATTTGTGGGGTACCTAGCAATGTTTCAATACGTATAACATATACTGATCACATTGGGATAATTAGCATATCCATCATCTAAAATACTGATCACTTCTCTGTGTTGGGATCAGTCAATATCTTCTTTTTAGCTATTTGAAACTATATATTGTTAACTATAGCCATCCTATAGTGGTATAGACTACTTGAGCTTATTTTTCCTATCTAGCTATTTTATATCCTTTAATAAATGCCTCCCTATCCCTTCCTTCCCTCTACCCTTTGCAGCCTCTAGTATTCTCTGTCCTACTTTTTACTTTAATGTGACCAAATTTTTTTAGCTTCCACATATTAAGGAGAACATGTGGTGTTCAACTTTCTGTTCCTGGTTTATTTCACTTAACATAATGTCCTCCAGTTCCATCTGTGTTATTGCAAATGACAGGATTTCATTCTTCTCGCTCTTTTTTTTTTTTTTCCTTTGAGACAGAGTTTTGCCCTTGTCGCCCAGGCTGGAGTGCAATGGCACCATCTCAGCTCACTGCAACCTCTACCTCCAGGGTTCAAGCGATTCTCCCATGTCAGTCCCCCAAGTAGCTGGAATTACAGATGTCTGCCACCATGCCTGGCTAATTTTTGTATTTTTAATAAATACAAAATGGGGTTTCACCATGTTGGCCAGGTTGGTCTCCAACTGCTGACCACAGGTGATCCGCCCGCCTCGGCCTCCCAAAGTGCTGGGATTACAGGCGTGAGTCATCGTGCCTGGTCAGGATTTCATTATTTTTTATTGCTGAATAGTATTCCATTGTGTGTGTATACCACATTTTTTTATACATTCATCTGTTGTTAAACACCCAGGCTGATTCCGTATCTTGGCTATTGTGAACAATGCTGCAATATAACATGGGGGTGCAGTTGTCTCTTTGATATAATGATTTCCTTTGGGTAAATTCACAGTAGTGGGGTTGCTAGACCATATGGTAGCCCTATTTGTAGTTTTTGAAAAATCCTACATACTGTTTTCTATAGTGGATGTACTATCCCACCAATGGCACAGAAGAGTTTCCTTTCTCCACATTCTTGCTAGTATTTGTTGTTTTTTGTTTTTTTGTTTTCTTGTCTTTTTGATAACAGCCATTCTAACTGGGGTAAGATGATACTTCATTGTGGTTTGATTTGCATTTTCCTGATGATTAATGATAAGTATTTTTTCCTATTTTTTTGTCATTTGTATGTATTCTTTTGAGAAATGTGTGTTCAGATCATTTGCCCACTTTTTAATCAGATTGCTTGTTTGTTTGCTATTGGTATGTTTGAGTTCCTTGTATATTCTGGATATTAATTCCTTGTTGGATGAGTAGTTTGCAAATATTTTAAATCCCATTCTATAGGTTGTCTTTTGACTCTTGTTGTTTCCTTTCCTGTGTAGAAGCTTTTTGGTTTGCTATGATCCCATTTGTTTATTTTTGCTTTTGTTGTTTGTGCTTTTGAGGTCTTATTCATTAAATATTTCCCCAGACCAATGTCCTAAAGCATTAACATTTAGGTCTTTTTTTGTTTTTTGTTTTGTTTTGTTTTTTTGAGATGGAGTCTTGCTCTCCCAAGTAGCTGGGATTATAGGTGCCTACCACAACGACCAGCTAATTTTCTGTATTTCTAGTAGAGATGGGGCTTCATCATGTTGGCCAGGTTGGTCTCGAACTCCTGACCTGAAGTAATCCACAAGCCTCGGCCTCCCAAATTGCAGGAATTACAGGTGTGAGCCACCATACTTGGCCACATTTAGGTCTTTGATCCATTGTGTGTTCATTTTTATATGGGGTGAGAGGGTGAGAGGTGGAAGTCTTGGTTTCATCCTTCTGCATATGAATATACAGTTTTCCCAGCACCATTTATTGAAGAGGCTGTCCTTTCCCCAGAGGGTGTTCTTGGCTCTTTTGTCAAAAATCAGTTGGTTGTAGATATGTGGATTAATTTATGAGTTCTCTATTCTGTTTTATGTTCTCTGTGTCTCTGTGTTTTTATGCCAGTATTATGCTGTTTTGGTTACTACAGCTTTGTAGTATATTTTGAGATCTAGTAGTATAATGCCCCAGCTTTGTTCTTTTTATTCAGGATTGCTTTGACCATTTGGGGTCTTTGTGGTTCCATACAAATTTTAAGATTTTTTTTCTCTTTCTGTGAAGAATGACACTGGTATTTTGATAGAGATTGCATTGAATTGTAGATTGCTTTGGGTGGTATTGTCATTTTAACAATATTAATTATTCCAATCCATGAACATGGGATGTTTTTCCATTTGTTTATATCCTCTTTAATTTCTTTCATCAGTGTTTTATAGTTTTCCTTGTAGAGGTCTTTCATTTCCTTGGTTAATTTATTATTACATATTTTATCTTTTATCTATTATAATTGGGACTGAGTTCTTGATTTCTTTTTCAGCTAGTTTGTGGTGTATAAAAACACCACTAATTTCTGTATATTAATTTTGTATCCTGCAACTTTACTGAATTCATTTGTCAGTTCTAAAAACTTTTTGGTACAGTCTTTAGGTTTTTCTTTCTTTTTTTTTTGAGACAGAGTCTTGCTCTGTTGCCCAGGCTGGAGTGCAGTGGTGCGATCTTGGCTCACTGAAAGCTCCACCTCCTGGGTTCACGCCATTCTCCTGCCTCAGCCTGCCGAGTAGCTGGGACTACAGGCGCCTGCCACCATGCCCGGCTTTTTTTTTTTTAATTTATTTTTATTTTTATTTTTTTTAGTAGAGACGGGGTTTCACCGTGTTGGCCAGGATGGTCTCGATCTCCTGACCTCACGATCTGCTCGCCTCGGCCTCCCAAAGTGCTGGGATTACAGGCGTGAGCCACCGTGCCCAGCTGAGTCTTTAGGTTTTTCTATATATAGGATCATGTCATCTGCAAACAGAGATAATTTGATTCTCCTTTCCAATCTGGATACACTTTATTTCTTTTTCTTGTATAACTGCTCTGGCTAGGATTTCTAGTACTATGTGTAATTGTTGATTCATCTTGCTAAAATGTTTATATATCAGGATAAAGTATTTTTTGCAGTTTTAAAATACTTGGCTAGTCTACTAAGAAACTGTAATTGTTTTGTGGAAATCATAGGATCAATATTTCTTTAAACATAATCAGTGTTGTTAAGTACAAAGTTTAACATCAAAATATTTAATGACTTTAAAATATGAGAAAGTTTAAAGAGAACATTTTCTTGATATCTTATTCTGCTTTATATTTCTTTTTTCATACATCTGATACACAGAAAAATGGAGTATGGTTTTTAAGTTTGCCTACATTATTTACTAATGGTATGTAATAATTTTAATGTCCAAGAAAATTATTGTCTATAAATGTCCCTTGGTATTCCAATTTCTGTTCAAATTAAAAAAAAAAAATCATTTCCATTTTAACATTAGCATTTTTAAGAGAATAACTTAATAATAAAGAAGGAAATAGGAGCCTCTCCTCTGTCAGTACTAGCGAATAGTGGAGAAATCAGAATCTATACAGCACCTTTTGTGTAGCTCTGTGTCTTGAGGCAGGAAGTAGCTTCATAGTCTTCTGAGATGTTACTCCCACCTAAAGAAAAACACCAGGTGCTTAGTGAATTTAATTTGAAGTTATTACAGAGATTAAAAGGATCAGCAGATTTAGGTTATAGTGAACCTTTTTGTTAAACTGAAATTAGTGATATAACTATTATCAGTAATTAACTTATTTTCTAATGAGATATGTCATATTAGTCAGAATACATATACAAAACAACCAAAATAGTAAAATTTATCTTAATGCCAAGCCAAAAATAGTTGTGTAAGATGACTGTCAAGATACTTTATTTAAAAATATCTCGGCCGGGCGCGGTGGCTCAAGCCTGTAATACCAGCACTTTGGGAGGCCGAGACGGGCGGATCACGAGGTCAGGAGATCGAGACCATCCTGGCTGACACAGTGAAACCCCGTCTCTACTAAAAAATACAAAAAAAAAACTAGCCGGGCGAGGTGGCGGGCGCCTGTAGTCCCAGCTACTCAGGAGGCTGAGGCAGGAGAATGGCATGAACCCGGGAGGCGGAGCTTGCAGTGAGCCAAGATCACGCCACTGCACTCCAGCCTGGGCGGCAGAGCGAGGCTCTGTCTCAAAAAAAAAAAAAAAAAAAAAAAAAAAAATCTCTAGAAGCCTTCTTTTCCAACTGCATACAGTTGTTGAGCAAAGTGATTCAAGAACTTTGAAAATAGATTATAGTTATTAGAAATGCAACGTAAGACCACATGCAGTGGCTCATGCCTGTAATCTCAGCACTTTGGGAGGCTGAGGTTGGAGGATCACTTGAGTCCAGGTGTTCAACACCATCCAGGCAACACAGGAGACTCTGTCTCTACAAAAAATAAAAAATTAGCTAGGCATGGTGGTGCATGCCTGTAGGCCCAACTACTTGGAAGGCTGAGGCAGGAGGATAACTTGAGTCCAGGAACTTGAGGCTTTGGTGAGTCATGATCATGCCACTGTACTCCAGACTGGCTGGGTGACAGAACAAGACCCTGTCTCAAAAACAACAACAACAACAACATATATTTCTGCTAAAATAACAAACATGATGATGGCCATAATATCCAATCTAACGAGTGAAGATTATTTTACAAAAAAATACAGAGGATGAAAGCAGCTGGGAACTGTCACTGCTGGTGTATAGTTAGGAGAAGAGGATGGGACCAATGGGACAGAAATTGGTGAAAACAACACATCATGATAAAACTTTCATATAGTATAAATGACTTTATTCTGAATTCCAGAAAATTGTATTAAAGTCATCTGTTTAGATTTGTATTTCTGAAACATCAATCTAGCAAGTGATGTGAAGGATGGCTTGGAGGGAGATGAAGCTGGTGTTCAGGAGCCCAATTTGGAGGTTATTTCAATTATTCAAGCAAGAGAAGATGAGAACTCAAATGAGGGTAATAGAGATGAAAGACACGGGACAGATTCAAGAGATATTTGGGAGTTAAAAGCAGCAAGATGTGGTGACCAGTTGGATATGGAAGATATTAAGGTGGGAAGTACATAGCATAAACCCCTAGAAAATTGACTGGGCAAACATTTGTACCATTAGCTGAAATGAGATGGCCTAAAAATATGGTGAGGAATTGGGGTAGAGAGAATTTTAGGTCTGAAAGAAATTCTGAAAGGCAGTGTGGTGTAACAAAAAAGACACCAGTTCTGGAGTCCGAGACTTTGATTCAAATAGCAAATCCCTAATTTTTAGCTACTAAGCAAATTACTTACCTTCTTTAACCCCTTAGATTCTCATTTATAATATTGTCTACTTTGCAAATTCTTATGAGGATTAAATATGTTGGTAGGTACGCTAAATTCTTAGAATAAGCTAGATGCACATTAAACTGTTTTCATGGCTTTTTTTTCCCCCTTCTGTCTGTCACCCTGGCTAGAGTGCAGTTCCATGATGTCGGCGCACTGCAGCCTGCCTCCCGAGTTCCAGCGATTCTCCTGCCTTAACCTCCCGAGTACCTGGGATTACAGGCGCCCGCCACCACGCCGGGCTAATTTTTGTATTTTTTGTAGAGACGAGGTTTAACCGTGTTGGCCAGGGTGGTCTTGAACTGCTGACCTTAGGTGATCCGCCCGCCTCGGCCTCCCAAAGTGCTGGGATAACAGGCGTGAGTCATCGCCCCCGGCCCAGTTTTCATTGCTTTTACTATGATCTGCCTGGTGCGGTCCAGCTCACAGTAAGAAACAAGTGCTTGGTGCTTGGGCGAACGATCCGGGTAGAGATGGAGATTGAGGATTAGAGGCCCTCAGGCAGCCACGGCTAGGGAGGAGGAGAAGGGCCCTGGGGGGAATCCGGGATCAGACCGTGTCAGCATTTTCAGAGCATCCTCAGGAACCGGCAGGAGCCAGCACCGTGGGGGCTTGCGCCGCTTTTCCCCGGTCCCCTCGGACCGTCACAGACAAGAGGGAGCTGCCCAAAGGCGGGGTGCTGAGAGGTCGGCACCCAGCCCGGCTCCTTCGCCTCCGCACCAGCTCCTGGAGACCCAGACTTTCGGCAGTGAAAGGAAGGAATCCTCTCTGGGAGCTGGGCTTGTCCAGCGCGGTGCCCGCCCCATCCCTTGGGTTTACCTGTAGATAATCCATTCGGTTTAAAATCGGATCCATGATGACAAAGCGGAGGGGCTAAGCAGCGCCGGACAAGAACAGGAGGGACAGAGACTGCCGGCCCGCAGGCCTCCGACCCAGTCTGAAAGCCGCCCGCGCCCCCTCAGGATCCAGCTCCAGCTACCGCGCCCACTTCCTGGGCTGCAAAGGCCGGGCGACAGGGCAGTGGCGTCCTGCGTGACGTCAGTACGCTGCTGCGAGGGGCTCCTGGATGAATATGAAGGCCCGTCCCTTTCCCGAAGCACCGCCCACTGTAGCGTGTTCCAATCAGAGGCGGAGAGGAACTAAGGGCGCGAGGTCTGGGAGACTCAGACAGGGCGGTTTCCACAGAGACCCCAGACGCAGCCTTGGCTCCACCCTCACCGCGGCCCTGGTCTAATACTGGACTTCTTTCCTCCTCGCTGTAGAGAAAACTAGTTAAGCCTGCTAGAGTCTGACCGATTTCACTCTGACATTGGAAAGGGTCCCGCGAAGAATTAGGTTCCACCGTTACAGGTGTTAGCTTACAGCAGCGGTTCTCAGACTTTTGGCCTTAGGACTTCTTTACAAAACTCTTAAAAAACCGTTGAGGACCACAAAGCCATTTGCTTTTTGTGGGTTTTCTCTCATTTTTATTTATTTATTTTTTATTTCAATAGTTTTGGGTGTACCGGTGGGTTTTGGTTACATGGATAAACTCTTGAGTGGCGAATTCCGAGATTTTAGTGTACCCGTCACCCACCAGTGTACACTGTACCCAATATGTAGTCTTTTATCCCTCACCCCGCTCCCAATCTCCTCCCCACCTGGAGTCCCCAGAATCCATTACATCACTCTGTATGTCTTTGCCTCCTCGTAACTTAATCCCACTTATACGTGAGAACATGCAGTATTTGGTTTTCTATTCCTAAATTACTTCACTTAGAATAATGGCCTCCAGCTCCATCCAAGTTGCTGCCAAAAGACATTATTTCGTTCCTTTTTATGGCTGAGTAGTATTCAATGGTGTATATATATACTACATTTTTTTATCCACTCATTAGTCAATGGACACTTAGGTTGGTTCCATATCTTTGCAATTGCGAATTATGCTGCTACAAACATGCATGTATATGTGTCTTTTTCCTTTGGGTAGATATCCAGTAGTGGGATTGCTGGATTGTATGGTAGCTCCACCTTTATTTATTTATGGAAGCTTTATACTGTTTTCCATAGTGGTGGTATTAATTTACATCCCCCAAGCAGTGCAAAAGTGTTCCGTTTTCACCATATCCACGCCAACATCTCCTGTTTTCTAATTGTATTATTATTATTATTATTATTATTATTATTTAGACAGAGTCTTGCTCTTGTCCCCCAGGCTGGAGTGCAACAGCACTATCTAGGATCACTGCAACTTCCGGCTCCCGGGTTTAAGTGATTCTCCTGCCTCAGCCTCCCGAGTAGCTGGGATTACAGGTGCCCGCCACCACACCTGGCTAATTTTTGTATTTTTAGTAGAGACAGGGTTTTGCCATGTTGGCCTGGTTGGTCTCAAACTCCTGACCTCGTGATCTGCCCGCCTCATGGCCATTCTTGCAGGAGTAAGGTGGTATCTCACTGTGGTTTTAATTTGCATTTCGCTGGTGATTTAGTGATGTTGAGCATTTTTTCATGTTTGTTGGCTATTTGTATATCTTCTTTTGAAAAATGTCCTTTGCCCACTTTTTGATGGGATTGGTTTTTTCTAACTGATATGAGTTCCTTATAGATTCTAGATACAAGTCCTTTATCAGATGCACAGTTTGAAAATATTTTATTTTACTCTAAGGACTGTTTAGTGATTATTTGTTTCGCTGTGCAGAAGCTTTTTAGTTTAATTAGGTCCCATTTATTTATTTTTGTTTTTGTTGCATTTGGCAAATGTCCAAAAGAGTTTTCTCAATGTTATCTTCTAAAATTTTTGAGGTTTCAGGTCTTAGATTTAAGTCTTTGATTCATCTTGAGTTGATTTTTGTATAAGGTGAGAGATGGGAAGCCAGTTTCATTCTTCTACATGTGGCTAAACCAGTTTTCCCAGCACCATTTATTGAATAGGGTGCCCTTCTCCCAATTTACGTTTTTGTATGCTTTGTTGAAGATCAGTTGACTGTAAGTACTTGGCTTTATTTCTGGGTTCTCTATCTGTTCCATTGGCCTATGTGTCTCCTTTTTTTTTTTTTTTTTTTACCAGTACCATGCTGTTTTGGTAACTAGCCTTGCAGTATAATTTGAAGTCTGATAACGTGATGCCTCCAGATTTGTTCTTTTTGCTTATTATTACTTTGGCTATTCAGGCGCTTTTTTGATTCCATATGAATTTTAGAACTTTTTTTTTAGTTCTGTGAAAAATAGTAATGATATTTTGATGGCAATTACACTGAATCTGTAGATTGCTTTGGAAAGTATGAAAACCATTTGTTTATATGAGTTTACCTATTGATTTTAACCATAGTAGACATTAGAACTGAAAGCAATTAGTTTTTTTTTAAAAACCTATGACGAATATCTTAATTAAAAATATTTTCCAAAATCAAAAAATAAAATGAAATAACTGGTACTGTGTGCAAATCTATTTTCTGTCCATTTTAATAGTAGACAGGAGGAGCTTCAAATCTGCTACTGCATTCAATCTATTGTTATATGTTGTTTTTGTTCAAGTGTATGAAGAAAATTTCGTCCAAACTCAACAACTGGTAGTTTTTTGAAAGGTTAGTTGCAATGTGAAATGTGACTTCGTTACATAACATCAAAAAATCCCATCTGTTAGTACCACCATGGATCTCATCAGTGAAGTCCCAAGTATGGGAGATCTGTCAAACTTAGAATGGCGAATACATATTTTCCAAAATTCAAATTTGTGCTTGAAAGTTTGAAATTTACACATTGGCAACAAATGTCAATTGTTGTCCTTGAACTGATAGGTTCCCTTCTTGAATTCACAAGAAAGTAAATGCCAAATATCTAAGTCTGAATAATCATAATTTGTCAGTAATTCCTTCAAATAAAAATAGTGTCCCATGAAAAAAGCAGCAAGTTCAGCTAGCAGCTCAATCCCACAAGTGCTTTTCCTTGAGCCAGCTAATGTACTTCAGTATTCAGTAGAAGGATTTTATACATACTTCTTATGTCATCACATAGAACATTTAAAAAGACATATTCAAGAGTTAAGATGTAATAAATGAGGGCTGAATCAGAAGAAAGAAAAAAGGAAAAAAGATAATATTAACAATGTTGCTGCTTCGTAAAGGACATTTTTATATGAAATGGTTTTTGTTTCCTATCAGTGCATGGCATGTAGAATATGGTGTCTACTAGTACGGTTTGGAGCCACTATTTTGATTTATGCTTAAGCACTAGCAGTATTAACCACCATTGTTTTGGTACCATCATTGCAAATGTCAGCAGAGTGAAATGGCAAATCACATCTTAGTATTATGAAAATAGTTTCAAAATTGCAGACAGCTGTGAAAAGGCCTCAGGAACCAATCCTACCCCTCAGGGCCCCACAGACTACTACTGACCCATAGTGACCCACGATTTAAGAGCTGACATTCTTTGACTCACTTTCATCAGTCCTTCCTTAATGCGCATAGAGCTCTGCCTAGGGAAGTACAGATGAGTTCAGATACAGCTGCTTTCCTGATTTTTGTGGTTTTTCTTTTTCTTCTATTTTTTTTTTTTTTTAGAGATGGGAGTTTTGCCATGTTGCCCAGGCTGGTATTGAACTCCTGGGCTCAAGTGATCGCCCACCTCAGCCTCCCAAAGTTCTGGGATTACAGACATGAGCCACTGTGGCTTTCCAGGAAAGAGTTCACAAATAATTGTGAAACAAAAAGAATTAAATCCCTGAGAAGAGGTGCTTCTTAAGAAGAGAAGTTATTTACTGCAGCAATATCTGAAAAAGTTTTCCCTTTGTTCCAGACAACTATTTCTCTGAGGCTAAAATAATTCCACATTAAAATAGACAATATATGAAGATGGGTTAGCTCTTCAGCAATTTGGGGGAAATATACATCAATTTAGATTCAAGAAAAAAATACAGATAAATCTTAGAAGTCAACTGAAAAATAAAGCCACAGAAGAGATAGAAGAAAATAGAATTGTATAGCATTTTACAGAATTTTGGAGGTTGGAGGATATATTATTAGTTTGCTAGGGCTGACATAGCAAAGTACTACACACTGGGAGGCTTTTCAACACAGAAATTTATTTTCTCACAGTCCTGAAGTCTAGAAGTCATAGATCAAGGTGTCAGCAGGGAACCAAACCAATCTTCAGAGGCCTCTCTTCTTGGCTTGTAGATTGCTGTCTTCTCCCCGTGTCTTCACATGGTCCTTCCTCTATGTCTGTTTGTGTCTTATCTTGTCTTTTTAGAAGGACACCACTCATATTGAATTAGGGCCCACTGAGATTATCTCATTTTAAATTAATCACCTCTTTAACGACCCTATCTCCAACTATAGTTATAGTCCGAGATACTGAAGGAGAGGACTTTAACACGTGTTTTGAGGGGACACAATTCAGCCCATAACAGACGGAAACTGATCTCAAAAGGAATAGAAGAAACCACAAAGGAAAAAAGCCGATATGGTGGTACATGCCTGTAGTCTCAGCTATTTGAAGGCTGAGGCTCAAGAAGATTACTTGAGCGCAGCAATCTAGCCTGGGCAAAATAGCAAGGCCCCATCTCTAAAAAACAAACAAACAAACAAAAAACTAACTTAAAAAAAAATGAAAAGTAAAGATAAACATTTCAATATGTCACAACAATGTTTAAATGAAAACAAAAATATAGGAGAAAAGAGTTAATATCTTAATAGTTCATACAAATAATTAAGAAATACTATGATTCTAATAAATAGGCAAAACAAAAACAAAAACAAAAACAGACAATGCCGGCAGTGCTTATTTTCCATTTAACAAGTGATGTCCACTGTTTAATTAATTGTGTAGAAGGAAAGCAAGAGTTTGTTCTGAAGCTCAAATTTATTTTAAAACAGTGAAATGAGGCTATGATATAGCATCAAAACAATACAATGTGTTTGCATAATATGATATTTGGAGTTCTTTGATTTTGCATTTAAAAATGCAATTTATTATTTTTAAAGTACATACTATGTTTTGTTTCTTAATGATTAGTAAAGATTTCAAACTACTAATTTTAAGTATTCCTCAACTAATCAATTAGCAGGGTGAGGAATTTTTATTCACAATAAAGAAAATGTCAAGTTAAATTACCACTGTGTGTTCTCTTTTTAAAGATGTTTTAAGGTATCATAGACATCTTGGTGGTCTCTATAAAACTCAACAGAAGATGATTGCCTCTCAGATGTGACAAAGACCACTTTGGAGACAAATTTGCAGAATTACCATGCACCTTAGTAATTTATAACCTTATGTTATGGTGCTAAAGCAATCATTATAAGTTAAACAACTTATGGCTAAAAATAAAAGCAATTTAAACTGCATTAAAGTTAAAACCATCAACACGCTAGTAGTGGTCAGCAGAATGACTGAGTCATGAGTAAAAACATTACTTTCCCCTAACACATGGTATAAATTTAGAAATTTTCAAACTCTTTTTTAAACTGAACAAAGTTACAGATACCCATTTTAGGTTTTTTTTTTTTTTTTTTTTTTTTTGGTGGGGGGTTCACTTTGTCACCCAGGCTGGAGTGCAGTAGCGTGAACACAGCTCACTGCAGCCTCAACTTCCTGGGCTCAAGTTATCCTCTTACCCCAGCCTCCTGAGTAGCTGGAACCACAGACACACGTCACCATGCCCGGCTAATTTTTTTGTATTTTTTGTAGAGACAGTTTCACCATGTTGCCCTTCTGGTCTCAAACTCCTTAACTGAAGCCATCGACCTGCTTCAACCTCCCAAAGTGCTGGGATTACAGGTGTGCACCACAGTGCCCAGCCTGATTTTGGGAGGCTGAGGCAGGAGGATCGCTTGAAGCCAAAAGTTCAAGACTAGCCTGGACAACATAGGGAGACCCATTTCTAAAAATATATTTTTCAAAGTTTATTTAAAAAATTTAAAAAGACACAGAAAGAAAGATTACCACCTTGGATGATATTAACCTGCTGAAACACCTCTATGAGCTCCAGGGACTAGAAACCCCTGATGTAGCATAACCCTGTTTGCCTGAACTATTTATGAAGACCAGAGAAGTTAAATGGGTTGTCCCACACCACAGTCATTAGTGTGGCTTCAGTTCTCTTTAGATATTGTCCATAAGACAATTTATCATCCCATTTACAAAAGCTGCTTTCACTTGGCTTGCACATTTGAAATATAAATATATTGACATATTGGGTAAGATAGTTATCCTAAATTGTATCAAATTTGCTTTTAATAATCACAACATATCATTTTAAAGTTTTTATTGTGCATAAACTCTTTGAAGATATTGTGTACCATTTTTCAAAGTTTTCTCATTATTTCAAGTCTAAGAACCCAAACTTTTGAACAGATTGTGACTTCCATAAAGTCACGGGTGCTCTGTAAATTCAATATAGCAGGAACTTACAAAGTACCAAACTTTTCAAACAGTACGTCTAAGAAGCAGTTTGACTGTTGCTTTCTTTTCTTTATTTTATCTGTAACTGAGAAAAAAATAAGAATAGCGAAGAGGTAAAAAAATGAGAGATGTCCCAAGGAAAGAAGAGTCCTGGGGTTTTGACAATCCTTTAATTAATGTTTTTTTTTTTCTAGAAAGTTGTTTTTGGTCCTGTTTAAACGCTCCCTTCTCTGAATTGCCCCAACAACTTTGAGCTTTCTTTTCCCAAAGGTATCTGTTAAAAGTGAGTAGGGAAAGGACTTGCTGACCCAGAGCTATCTTTATCCTCAAGTGAAGGACTAATTCTGACAGCAATCCCCTCGACTAATCCTCATTTCAACCGTAGGCTACCACATTAATACCTTCTGTCTTAGTGTGAGTTCCCTAAAAGCAAAACCTAACAAGATTTGGATGTGATGACTCATTAAGGGGATGCTCTCTGGAGAAAGGGAGGGAAGGAAACTTGAAAAGGCAGAGGAAGAAGCTAAACCAAGATTTCATCTCAACTTGAGTCTGGCATCAGCCTAATCCTTTCAGGAGCTCTGGAGCATGAACTGCACCAAATAGTTGGCCCCACCTTGAGACAAGGGGCCGGCCCTTTGTGCCCCCACACATCAGTCACTGGCCATGGGAAGCTGGAGGCATCACATCCAGGGTAAAACTGCTTCTTTTTAGCTGAGGGCAATTCTCCAGGGGAAGTGATTAGCTAGGAACTGGACAGGAGAATATGGGAGACAGGTGCACTGGCCCAGTAGAGGGCATCTGGGCAGGGCATCAAAAACATCAATCACACACACTACACTTTGTCATCACACCTTTTTCTGAAACACCACCTTGAAATGATAAGGAAAAAGATGAAATATTAAAACTATACCAGTTTATACATAGTAAATAAAGAAAAAATGCCTGTTAAGAGCTCCACAGTTGTGAGGGGCATGGACGCAAAAAAAAAAAAAAGTCAGTTTTTTAAAAAATTCACATCGTGTAGATACCATGAGGCTTATCTTCATACTTCTCTGATCTTCAGATTCCAAGGATCATAGGCTGAATGTCCCCAGCTGAATCTGCCACTTTTTCATTCAGCATTTTTTCCAACCCCAAGGAAGAAAATTACAAAATATTCAGTTCCATAGCTATAAGCAAAAACTTTTCACACTTGGAATCTGGACCATACTATAAAACTATCAGAAATATCTATTATAGAAACTTTGTATCTTTACTATCTTAATATAACATGTGGTAACATATAACAATGGAAAAATTCAATATTTTATTCAGTTCTGAGACACAACATGAAGTCTTAAAAATGTTTAAGACAAATACTCTTAGCATCGCACAAAAGTTAATGAAATGTTCTACAATGGTAGCAAAAAAATGTATAAAGTTCCTTTCTTAATTTAACTCTCAAAAAGTAGAAATTAAGAAGTAACTTTAAAGAGCTTTATGTAGTTCCATTTAACACTTATTTCTGTCTTCACGTCTAGAAAGCTTTTCTGTGTGACAGCAATGATTTTAAAGTAGCATGTATTTAGTTGGTTTTAAGGACCTCTGAAACTCTTTGAGCTATGATCACAATTCGTATTCCTATAAGACTTGACAGCAACTGACTGAAGGGACTCAGGATGCTAAACATAACTCTATGAGAGATTTAAACCTAGCTGGTTAAAAAATGCTTTGAATGTTTTATGGTCTCTGAAGCGACTGGGGAACTTACTGGTCTGTATGCCTTTTCCCAAGAGGCATTGCGGATATTACCAGCATTCAGCTCAGTTATGTAATAAGGCATACGTAGATACATCACAATCTATTTTAGAAAGTAGATCTAGAAAGTAGAATTGGAATCCTTTGATAAGAAAAAAAGATGTCAATCGTTGTAAGCAATGATGGCAGGAAATGCCTCAAAAGGAACTGAAACACACCTGGGGATGCTTGGCCATGTCTTTCCAGGTACACCCATAGTCATTGCTCTTTCCTATTTCTTCCCATGAGCAGACCCTCCAAAACTCAGAAGGGAGCTCACGGATGAGATACAAAGTCAGCTGTTGATATCTCATTTAGCATTAAAGCAGCAGAGGCAGAAAATAGACCGTTATAACAAAATGACAACCCTGCATAACCTCCAACTTAAAAGAAAATCACATTACTGAAAAATGACAAATGTAAGTCTAAGATAGAAAGCAAGCAGTCTGTATTTTAGAAAAATCTTTAATGTGTTGTTTTAAATAATTATATGAAACTTAAATATTTAATGTAATTATATTTTCCATTAACCGATTTTGTTGTTAAACTCTTCCCTTGGGGCTCAATGGTTCTAGGATTATCAGTGACACCTAAAATTCTAAGAATGTCTTACCAAGTCATAGCTGGTTGTAAAATTTCTTCAGTTTCTATTTAAAAAAAAAAAAGATCTCTTCAGAACTCAGAACTTGGACAAGGGAAGGTATGCTACATAGTGAGGACTTTTTATTTTTATTTTGTTGGCAGTTCAGTTCAGTTGGTTTCAACATTTATTGAGCACCTACTATGTACCAGGCACTGTACTAGATGCTGGAGACACAAAGATGAATAAGACATGGTCCCTGTCCCCAAGAAACTGATAGTCTCTTGGAGGCAAACAGGTAGTGCAAAGATGTGGAGTTTAAAATGAATAAAAATTTCAATAATATAGTAATATTGGGCTTTTCAACAAAATGGTATGTCATTGTAATGTCAAGGCAGACAAATAAAATGCATTTTCATGTGATAAAACAATAAAACCATTACGAGCTAACCTTTAAAGATTCACATGATAAAGGTAGTTAATACTAAAAATGTACATCATAGTTTTTCAAGTATTTCATACTTAGAAATATTATTGCCCACATTTGTGCTATAGTCAAAGCCAAATCCAGGTTGCCGCATCATTCACATCTCAGCATGCTGGGATTCAGTTTCTCACTAAGTTTATGAATTAGAATGGCTAATTCCTCAGTTGCTTGGCTCTTGTCTTCCAAAAGTTCATAACGAAGGCTGGAGATATCTTGCTTGATTTCTTTTAATTCACCTATAGTATTGATATTAAAAAATTATTGGTAAGTTGCTCTTTGCATGTAGAAAAGAACAAAGAGTGAAATTCTTACAATATCAATGTATTTGCTTCATAAGGTCTCCAAAGTAGCTACTTCAAAGTTTTTTCTTTAAAATATTTAAGAAACATCTGTCTTTAAAGGTATACTGACCTTTGAAAAAAGCTATAAAAATAGTCCAGCTATATTTTTTAAGAGTAACACTCAGCTTAAAGTATTGTCCTTTTGTTCACCCACCTTTTAACATAAGGTGATTCTCTGTTAACTAATCTATAGCCAGGATATCTCCTTTCTGACTACAAGGGAGTCCCTTTGTTTCTTTCAAGTGTAAAGATTGACACCTGCATCAAACATTTCCCATTGCTAGGATCAAAGGGAATCCTAGAAAAACTAAATTTTACTAAAAATGAATCAATCTGTCTGACAGGCAAATAATTTTAAGGCAAATATGAAGTAAGGGAAAGAAAGAAAAAAGAGTAGAGAGTGTTTATTAGGGAAGGTAATGGCAATGGACATGAAGACATTAGTTTGTCCAGCATAAAGGATTAATGTATAAGGAAGTAACAAGCAACAGCGCAATTGAGGAGTTTAGATATGATACCACTGGCAATATATTCTTGAAGAGAATAGGAAAGTTTGGGCTATAAAAATAAATTGTTCCCATAGTTCAGTTTGGCAATATTTAGAGCATACATGTATTGCAATTAGAAACTGGATTCTCTTCAAGGAGAGGCAGTATTTGGTTAAAAAAGAAAAGAAACACTGGATTCTCTTGCAAGTGACTGTAATGTAGATAAATCACTGACTTTCAAAGTGAATGTTGGAGCAAGAATTTACCTTGAATCTAAGAAATGATTCTTCAAACCACTGACTTAGCTTTTTATAATAAAATGGCATTTGAAACACACCTTTGATGATATTTCCTGGTATCTTTAATATGCTTTAAAGTATAATTTCAATATTCTTCTATTATATAAACATCAGAGCCTTTTTATTTGAAAAAAATTCTAACTCTCAGAAATACAAAACATTTAAGGAGCCTTTTGTGGCAAAAAAAAAAAAAAAAGCGCTTCCTTTGGCATATGGCAATATAAAAGGAATCAACTGATCTTATTTGAAATCATGAGGCAGACTTCGGTGGAAGGAGTGGATTCTCACACCATTCAGTATCATAGAGGACCCCCTGCCCCATTTCACCTTCTACTATCCTTTCTTCCTTGTTCCCGACTCATGGGGAGACTACAACCTATGTGTTGTATTAAATATTTAGTCTGCCAATTCAGGAAACACAAATTACTCAAACTCTTCAGATTTTAATTTCCTCATTAATTAAATAAGGAGGTTATATGACACACTTTCTTAGTAAGAACTTTGTTCAAAACTCCAAATTCCCATTGATTTTCCTCTTTTGTGCAAGGGCTTGGGAAATGCTTCTTGTTTTTTATGCTGTTTTGGCCATACAATTCTTCCCACTTTGTTCCTCCCTCCCCACCCCCATGGAGGTTATGGTACAACTGATCAGACTTCTGCTTTCTAAACTACAACCTCATTCCAGTCCTTTCTCCTGAGACAGTTTGATTAGGTCACCATGATTAGATTTTTGCTAGTTATCAATTATAAATTCACAGGTTTCTTTTCTACATACATATACTATCAGATTGATTTCAATTTAAAAGGGATTCCTTGTATTAATCAAGTAACGGCTTCAAAGTCCATGAACAATATTATTAAGTTTAGCCCTTTCTTCTTTTATCAGTGTAGATAGATTTAGTGGCATCTCATTGATGTTGGAAGGTACAGTTTGCATTTTTAGGGCAACTTATTTCTCCCTGGTTGATTTCTTTCAAACTCTGGGCCTGTGTTTAGCTCTATCTCCTAGACTTTTGTAAAAAATTTTTATAGTCCACACTGATGCCCTGCCTCAAATACGCCTTAAAAAATAAGCTTGCTTAAAGTAAGGAGGCAGGGGGGAAAGTGAAATTCAAAAGAGAAGCACCAGACAAGAAAAACAGGTTAAAAATGTGTTTCTGAACAACAAAATAGAGGTTTTCCTGAGCACATGAATTCTGTTTGAGTCACTGTTCTTTTATCTGCTTAACTGGAAAAATGTTAACACTAATGTGAACTCACTGAAAATGTAACCAATACTACTGACTACTTTATGTCAGAGGGATTAAAAAACTGCTAGAAAGATGTCAGTCTTTACATTCTAAGAATCAGTTAGGGCACTATGAGTAGAGATAAATTGCCTCTGATCAATATTTTAAATAACTGTTTATTTTAAAAGATGAAGTTTTAAAAATGTAACATAAGATCCTTCTCCCATCTGAGAGGCATCCAAACTATAACCTGGGATTGGATTTTTAAAGTATGCCTCAATATGAAGTTTTCCAGGTTCATTAAGTTAGTTATAAAAGGATGTTTCTCAAGTTGGAGATGCTTACCTTCATTAACTTCATCATTTTCTTTGTCTACTTGTGCTTTCAAAACATACCGCTTTATAAGTCTTTTCATTATCTGCTGTTGGGCAAAAGTAAATGATTAGACCTCCACTGATATACATAAGTGCCCCGAATCTTATTTTCCAAAGAGGCTTACATACCTGTAAAGCAAACAACTTGGGAGAAAAATTTTTTACAACTATGTATAGAAAAATTATGCAGGTTTCAGAACTTAACTCTCTTAACGCCTTCTACTGAGACTTATTGCATAATCCACCAATACTTTTTTTTGCCTCAGAAATGGAAGAAGCTTTCAAAAAGAAGTTAAGCTTGAAGATTTGAATTCACGGCTTCTCTTTCAACTGACAGTTTCTTTTTGAGTTACATTGATGCTACATTATCACCCATAGACACTACCTTATTTCCCAGTATTTAGAAAAATACATTAATGTATGCTCTCGATAGAGAATTTGTAAAATACAGAGAAGAGCAACTAAATAATGAAATCATTAGCAACCTCACCATCCAATGATAATCACTGTTGTCATTTTGGTGTATGTCCTTCCAATATCTTTTCTTTAAATTTTGTATATATACTAATTACTGTATTATATTTTACATTTTCTAAATGCCATATATTTTGTTACATTGCATGCTTTTCTCTAATATCTATATATAGTGACTATTTTCAGTCTAAATAAATGCTCTTCTAGGATAACTGTTTATCCTTATGGAAAAAAATAAATTGGAGCCCTATTTCATACCATGAATACAAAAATTAATACCATGTGCATCTTAAATGTGAAAGATAAAGCTTCTGAATCCTTAAAATAAAATATTATATAAGACAGTATATTTATAAATTTAGGGTAGGCCTGGATTTTAAAAAAAGCAAGATTAAAACTTCTGATTACAATAGAAAAGACTGATAAATGCAACTTCATTACAATTTAAAATTTCTGTTTCTAGAGATACCATAAAGAAAGTGAAAAGATAAGTCACAGACTGGAAGAAAATATTGGTAATACTTGTAAGTAAAAATAATTTGGATCCAAATACATGAAGAACTTTAATTCAATAAGAAAAACTCAAATAACCCAATTTTAAAATGGGCAAAAGACAAACGAATGTTTCACAGAAATGGAAATGTGAAGGGTCAACAAGCTTAAGAAACAATTTCAAACTCTGTTGCAGGGAAATACAAATTATGACTAAAAGGAGACACAATTTTACATCTAATAAAGAGAATGATTAATGAATCTGGTCATGCCAAGTGTTGGAAAGGAGATGAATCAATGGGGACTTTTATATTTTACTGGCAAGACTGTAGACAACTTTGTTGACAATTTAGTATTATCTTTTTAGTTTTTAAATTGATTTATATTAAGAAAATTTTAGAGGTGGTCTCACTATACTGTAGAGGCTTGCCTCAAACTCCTGGGCTCAACGCTGTCCTCCTGCCTCAGCCTCTCAAGCAGCTGGAGCTATAGGCATGAGCCACTGCAGCCAGGTGGTATTATCTTTTAAAGTTGAACATTTGCATGCCCTTTCACCTAGAAAGTCAACTTCTCAGTATAAGGTCTAGAGAAACTTTGCAGGTATGAACCAAGAGACATACAACAATGTTTGTAGCAACTCTGTCTGAAATTGCAAAACACTAGAAACAATCTAAACAAATATTAACAAGAATAGACAAATTGTAGTATGTTATAATGTAATGTTATTGTGTTCATTAATGAAATTAATGCACCATAGCCACACACAATAGTGTGGATGAATCTTAGAAGCATAATGTTGAATGAAAAATTCCAGTTGCAGAAGACCGCAAAGTATGAAGCTATTCTTATGAAGCTCAATAACAAGTAAATCTATAAAATATATCTTTAGGAATATTGACACATATAATAAATTATATTTGAAAAGAAAATCAAAGCAAGAAGAGGAGAAACCCAACTTCAAGATAGGGATTAACTGTTAGGTGAAGGCAGAGGAGTAGGTAGGGAGGTGTATATAAGTAGAGGCAATGGATGGATAATGTTATCATTGTCAGGTCGGTGGTGGTTTCATAGGTGTGAATGTAATTATGCTTCATAATTTATTTTGCATTATACATATTCTTATGCATGTAACAAATATTGTATATAAAAGATAACAAAGGAAAAGGAAAAAGACCTGAACTAAGATGCAGGCATAGCGAGAGTAGAAAATATATACTTCAATTTTAAGAAAGTAGAAATTACACCAAGGTCAAGTAAAAGAGAGGAATCCAGGAAGATTCAAAATGTTATGCAGAGAATAACAAGAAACTGAGAGGGCCCGTGCTACTGAAAAGGAAAAGCTCATTTTACCAGTCACTGTAAGATATAAAACCTGTTGAATTTTATAGAATCTAGATCCCAAGACAGACTCACAGCTGGATGGATCTTAAACTGGATTGATTCATTCATTCGGCAAATATTTATTGAAAGCCAGTTCCGTGGCAGGTACTGAACTAGGTGCTAGGAATACAACAGTGAACACAGTCCCCAGTCCAGTGAAACTTCGTATTGATACGGAACAATTCACTATAATGGGTGAACAAATCAGGGATCTGGTTAAATTTAGGGGACAGTGAAGACAGATTCCTATAAAACGAAAATACAAAGTTACGTGTATCAGTTAATAGCAGCTCGAAAGGCAGTAATACAAATTGATGGAAAAGAAATGACTATTTAACAATTAGTGCTGAGACAAGTTGAGCCTCTGCACAAGGCAAGAAGGCACCTGAGGTTAGACAGAAATCAGTTTCCCCATATATGACACTACCTGGTAATAGTCCATCCCTTTGTTCATGTTGGAAAGGTAATTTGTGAGGATTCTAAAATGATCTGCAGCTCAGAGAAGGAGACAAAGATTGGCCATCCCCATTCTATTAGGAAGCTTGTCTAGTAAACCCAAGACAGTATTGTGTAATAGGCAACAAAGACTCTTGAGGCCTCTCTCCCCCTATTGCAATAGCTCCTGAATAAAATCTGTTTTTACCACTTTAGCTACTGTCTAACTCTGGTTTTCTTTAACACAGTTGAGATTGTGAGCTGCAAGAACAAATCATGTAGATCTGGAACCTTGGTATCTTAATCTGCATAATGGAAATGCTAGACTGTGTCTTGGAAAAGAGACAGTACATGTAAATTACATAGTAGGTCCTTGAATAATATAACTATTACTCTCTCATTATAATCTAAGCTTCTGTAAAGCAAATCTCAATAAATCCATCTTAATGATGGTATCATAAGCAAGGACCATGAAACTCATATGTAACAAGTAAAAGTACCATTTTAAATACTACCTTTAACTAAATTTCCAACTGATTCTTTAATTACAGCTAGTACTAAAAATTAAACTACCAATAACAGACTCATCTTTTTTCCCTCTTGCTCAAATTGCTAACTAACTAACACAATAGAAGTCGACAGATTAACTTCCACATTCCACAAACCTCCAGAAATTATACAGCTTTCTTGGTACAAGCCTGTGAGTCACTCTTTAAGGAAGATATTCTAACTCTATAAAGACTATTGATTTTCTCTGTACAGGGTATGGAAATCCTAAACAGAGGTTCCAAAACAGAAATTCAGTGGTAACCAGGTAAAGATCCCAGGCGGTACTTACTTCAAACAGTCCTTCCTGCAAACAAACTCAATTACATTTTTCAACTCTCCATTAAGACTGGGAGAAGAAATAAGATGTGGGTGGTTGGGTAGCTGTGAGGTGGTTAGATATCTTCCTTCCCAAAAGGAGTGAAAGCTTTTCTTCTCACTTGGTATTTTTCACTGAATCAAATTCAACTAATAATTCTTAAGCACTCTATCAGGTACTTTTACATTCATTCTCTCATTTAATTCTACAGAGAAGCCAAATTTGACTGTCAGTAGGTTTTGTACTATGAATTTTAACAATCTAAAAAGTGTCAATGAAGGGTAATAAGACTGATGTAGACAAATAGAAAAAAACTCAGAAGTATAGAGTAAAATTTTAGACAGGAAAAGGACCTTAGGAATCATTGTTTTTCATGTTTTTATACCACTCATGAAACTTTGTGAAAGATTACCATTACACAGCTTCTGTATAAACTTCTGTGACTGAGGGCCTGCTATTTTTTCAGACAGCTGGTTTAATCTATTTTTGGACAACTATAGCTGTTAGAAAACAACTCCTTTGTATTGAAGCCAAAATAACTATCAGTCCAAGTTCTGTTCTTTGGGGCAACAGAGAATAAATTTGTTTATCCTTCTACTTGATTGACTTTTACCTGTTACTTTTTTCTGTTTTTTTTTTTTTTTTTTTTTTTTTTTGAAGAGGGACCTGCAAACCTATTGATTGACTTTAAAATATCCTCTCTTCTAGGTTTCCCAGTTCTGTTGACCTAAAGAAAAAATCTGAGGCAAACTAAATATATAAGTAGAGAGTTTATTTGGGCCAAGTTTAAGGACTGCAACCTGGGGAGCACAGATTCAAGTTGCCCTGGATATGTGCTTCAATTAGCAGCAAGTACTAGTGAGTTTTTAAATGTAAAGAAGAGGCAGTTCCTAAGTTGTTTATCAAGGATTTGAAATAACATAAGCTTTTGAATGGTTATACATTGTTCTTTGCATCACAAATTCCAGGGACATGAAGATAACAGGTGAGGCTGCAAGTCAGGAACAAATGAATTTAGACAACCGTCCTCAGGCATGGGTAGAGGTAGGGGGCGGTGACTGAAAGTCCCATACTCATGTTCTCTGGGCCTGCATACCTCACATAGTTCAGACTGCTCTGAGCTATTTTTGTTTTCTCTATTCCCAAACCATTTATATTTCATTGCATCTATATTTATTTCTATTTCATATATAGGCATAACTATACCACAGAGTATGTAGTGTTATGTGAGTATTTGTCTACTTATTCTTTCCTTTCTTTCTTCCTAACCTCAACACTGCCATTCTACTTCAATGGAGAGATTCTTGAAGCCATGACCTATATCTTTGTATCTGTATAACCTAACATCATGTATAACAGGGGTTGTCCTGAATGTGCCTGGAAGCTCACTGTGAGTGGAGT